CACAAGGGACCCACTCCCCCAAAAATTATCGTGACCCACCTCCCAAAAATGAAAGGGACCCAACCCCCAAATATCATAGGGACCCACTCCCCAAACATTTTAGGGACCCACTCGCCAATCATTAAAGGTCGACGCACTCCCCCAATCATTATAGGGACCCACTCCCCAAACATTATAGGGACCCACTCCCCAAACATTAAAGAGACCCATTTCCTAACCATTAAAGAGACCCATTTCCTAACCATTAAAGGGACCCACTCCCCCAAAGATAAAGGGACCCACTTCCCAACCATTAAGGGGACCCCCTCCCCCAAACATTATAGGGACCCACTCCCCCAAACATTATTGGGACCCACCTCCAAAACATTAAAGGGACCCACCCCCCAACATTATAGGGACCCACTCCCGACGCACTCCCCCAAACATTATAGGGACCCACTCCCCAAACATTATAGGGACCCACTCCCCAATCATTAAAGGGACCCACTCCGCCAAAAATTATATATATAAATATATATTTTGGCAATTGTGAAATCACAATTGTCACATGGCGCTCTATGAAAGAGCTAGAAATATAAAATCCGATAAATTTTTGTCACTTAAAAGCTCTGTAAAAAGAAGAAAAAAATTTAAACAATTTTTGATTTGCTTTTCAAAAGTTTTGAACTCCATATTGTAACTTTTAACTTCCATTTCACTTTTTAAAATCCAAAATCTATCAACAACCCCTACCATTTTTGATACTCGATACCCTCTTCCCTTTTCAATACTCCACAGTCCACACCCCCTCAACTTGTTCAGTGCTCCATACCCCTTCCCCTTTTCAATACCCCACACCATTTCCTCTTTTCAATACCCTGCACCCCCTCCCCTTTTCAATATCCTGCCACTATGAAACGTAGACCATTATAACTTTGAAAGTTTAATACTTANTATCCTGTACCCCCTCTCCTTTTCAATACTCCATACCCCCTCCCCTTTTCAATACTCCATACCCCCTCCCCTGTTCAATTTAAAACCACTATGAAACGTAGACCATTATAACTTTGAAAGTTTAATACTTATTTGAATTTTGTCGTTTAAATCCAAGTTATATATGAAGTAAGTTTGCAAACATAAAATTACAAAAATGGCGGCCTTACCATCCAAAATGGCGCCTTACCATCCAAGATGGCAGCTTCGTCAACTATCATTCATCTGTTATGGGTGTGCACTGTGAACTTTATGGGTTCATGCAGTTTTTATTGCCTTCTCACAACAGTAAAACGGAAAGGCAGAGTAAAAAATTATTAATTTTTTCGAAGTTAACGGATCGTTCGCAAATTTTGAATTAAAAACATATTTTCAAACCAGACATTTTAAGGACATTTGTCATCCAAATCCTTCTTTAAAAGATTATTAGATCTTAGGTCAGATTATTATTGCTTTTTCTGTCGAGCATTATCTCCATATTATCTCTTTATCCAGTTGTTCAAAAACAATTCCTTTTTTCTGTTTTGTACATTTTCAAAATAAATTTTGAAAAAAGAATAAAAGCCTTTAATTGGATTACATTAATTCAATTAATTAAAACAAAATAAACTACAAAAAGTCTTTAATATCTAATACAGTATATGGAGGAAGAATTCAAAACTATTCACCAACTGTCATGTTTCGTGGGACACCCTGTACAAGCATGAAAAGCAAATATTATGTGCAATGTACAATGTACAATATATCTACTATGTACAACGTACTTACAAAGTACAAAGTTTTTAATTCTCATGTCATAACTCATGAACTTTGTATTACGCATTATTAGGTATTATATGTCAATTGTTAAGCCACTTTATTTATTCAAAAACTATTTTATACCCATTTTCATCGTTTTATATTGATTTATTCTGTGGTTGTGATTTATATCTTTGATAATAATGATAATAAATATCATTTATCTAGAAATAAATCGTGCTGTTTTTTATGAACAAGTGTTGCAAATCAAAAACAATTGAAAATACATCGGGCTTCCCTTATTAATTCACTCCCCGCGCCCCCTCCCCTCCCCCTTCCAACTCCTTATCTAACCCCTAAGGAGTGGGCCTCTTGTCCCTAATCAATCCTAATGGACTGCTGAAAGATATAAACTTTTTGCCCCTTCACATCACATTTAGGCTAGGGGTACAAATTGATTGTGTCGTTACTGTTTAGTATTCTATATAGCCCTAAACCCAACCTCATAAAACGATTCAAACCAAGAAAGGAAGTGAGAGATTGAAATATTTGAGCGACGATTTAAAGGGAATGTTCATGTATCTGAGCAGATATTTGTGGTTAGACGGGTACAACAATTGCAAACAAATTGAACGGTTTTGAAGTACAAAATAATTTTTTGTCTTAATTTTAAGCTTGATCAATGATCAATGCAGGATGAAACAGGTTGCAGCATTGGTAATCTTGAATCAAATGAAATTCTCATTATACTTTGTTTTGCCTTATGATTGGATTCAAAAAGTTTACATTTCTTAGACGACAAAATCCAAAAATCCAAATCCAATGATTTGACAAAACAAAACAAAAATCTTGAATTTGGAAACTTATTGGATATTCACATTGTATCTTAGTATTCCGTTTTGTGCGCCCAACATGTAGAGATGTGCACCGTTTTTGAGAACGAACAAAATTTTGCGTAATTTATGTAGTCATTCAAAAAAAAAACAATGGACGAACAAATTGGATCGCTCGATCCTTAAATTGTTTGTTTTTGTGTTTTTTAATCAAAAGAAAAAACACAAAAACAAACAATTTAAAATCGCTTCAACAAACAAAAGAACAATTCTTAAGAAAAACGAAATTTTTTTTTGAACAATTAAAAAAGGAACAAAATGGGTCGGATGAGGAACGACTAACGAGCGTAATTATAAAAAAACAAATATGTAATGAAAATGTGTATGTAATGTACATCAAATCACTTAACGGAAACTAAGGGGAAGGGGGATGGGGTGAAAGTGGTTTTAGGAGTTGATTACTATTTGATGCAGATAAAAGGATAAATAAGATAAATCAAATCTATGGATTATAGACGACTTTTTCAAGTCTGTCTTACATAACACAGAACATAGTTTACTATGTAAGGATGAAAATTCAAAAAGGAAAGGGCAGAATTTAGATAGCTCATTTTTGTTTGTTAAATCAATTAAGAACTTTATGTAAAGGCAGAAGGACTGCAAATTTAACCTTCAGATCGTCATATTTAAAGAGTTTTGGGGCGTCATCACAGTCTCATCCTTTGTGACTATTGACTAACCCTGTATATATTTGCATATAACAGGACCCAGTGTTACCTAAAAACGACGAGGTTTCTTATTTCAAGGTACACAGTAGAACAGCAATCTTTAAGATCTAAAGATAACCATATTTGAGGTTGTTATGCAAGGAAAGTTAATTGCGGTCGTGTATACTCTGCGTACATAACGAAACCAGTTCTCTTTGGGCGGAATTTGTAAACAAGAATAGATGCATCAGTGTTCGTTTAGTATCCGAGGAGGTTAAAAGCATTAAATTTGATAATTTTGATAATTCACATAATAGTTTCCTATGACAAGAATATTTCATTGATTTTTTTATGTGAAAGATGGATCCCATGTCAGGCTGTAACATCCGTCTTGTGTTTACATTACCGCCCAGAGACAGTACACTGCAGTACAAAAGATGCGTACACTTCTAAAATAACTTTTCTTTGCATTACATCCTTGACCATATTAAAGTCTCATACTTTGAGGATAATACTGTATAGTTCTAAAACGATTACCCCTGACCGCGTTACTTTTCAATATCTGTCTATTATCCCCCCCCTCCTCCCCCCTCCCCCTGCCCCAGACCAGCTGCTGGTCAATTAGCCAGCTTTTTTGTTGACACTGCACAATGATTAATGAACTCTTAAAGATAAGTATTTGAACTCTGGGGAGTTTGTTTTTCAGAAAATTGTAAAGTTTCTGATTTTTTTACGAATCAATTTTTAAAATCATCAAAGTCTGCTGAGGCAATTTTCAAATTTGAGTGAACTTTTATAAAAAGAAAAAAACGGTCAAAAAGATTTGTAGGCTTTTTTCTTGGCCTAATCGGAAAAAATCTGCTTCTCTTGTAAGTTATTTTTAAAAAGAAGCATAATATTTGTGTATTTAATGAATCAACTAATTTTAAAATTAACTCATTTTTTTCAAGTTTCAAAGGATTTGAATTTCTTGTCAAAATGTAAAAATACAAATAAACACTACTCTGCAATCTCAAAAGGGAAAAAAGTATTTTATCAGTTATTACAGGGATAACTTGAAAACGGAATAGGAAGACGACATTATAGCAATACTTAATTGTATTTGATGTTGTTACAGTCTTTAAAATAGTTTTACTAGACATTTGTTTAATCACTAATTTAGTGATATGGGTCTGTTTACACTGCACAATTACTGTGTCTCATAATTTGATTGTAAAAGTCGTCTTCCTAGTTCAGAGTTTTCTAGAGCTTACTATGGTTTGCTTAAATATAAAATCCTCCCAGAAACAGTTTTAAACTTCCCTTTGTAATCAAAGCAATGTAGATTCCTCATGAACATTCCTTTGGTAACAAATATTCTAAAAAACAGAAACAGGTTTCTAATTCTAAACTGTTTCAGCCAGTATTATATATGTTATCAATACATACACATTATCTCTTAGGAGTAAAATTATTTAAAAACATAAAGTTTTAGGCTGATATTCTGACATCAAACAGTTTTAGGCTGATATTCTGACATCAAACAGTTTTAGGCTGATATTCTGACATCAAACAGTTTTAGGCTGATATTCTCACATCAAACAGTTTTAGGCTGATATTCTGACATCAAACAGTTTTAGGCTGATATTCTGACATCAAACAGTTTTAAGGAGGGGGGGTAATATATACTTTAGACAATCCTCCCCCACTTCTAGATCTCAAAAAAATTAAAAAAATTTTAAAATTTTCAAAATAATTTGATTTTTTCAGAATTCTTTAAAATGGAAACTCTCCGAGGTCTGGTTCAAGATACCTATGTTCGGGTAGGGGTGCTAGGAGCTGCAGGGTGAGTCGGGAAGTTACAGATATTTATGATACCAGAGCTGAAAACTTAAGAATGGGATATCCTTAATCCGGATCGGTTAATTAATCTGGAGATTAAATTCATGAGGAGAACAAGCAATATCTAATCTGGAGATTAAGAAAAAGAGTGGATCAAGCATTAATCCCGATATCCACAATTCTAAAGTTTTCAGCTCTGAGCTGGGAACTTTAGAATGGTGGATATCGAGATTAATGCTTAAGTGTAATGAAAAGTGTATAAAATTCAACCAATCAGAGTCGCATATAAGAAGCCGATAAATTTGAAATTTTGTGCGCCATTTAAGATTAATATAATTAATATACAGGAACAGGAACAGGAAGGACTCTTAATTTTTAAAAACCGGTTTTTGATTTTTCTCTACTATACCCAAAAAAAATGGATTAAGCAAGAAATCAAAAGTGTCCACATTGGATATTCGGATTAAGCAGTCTGGATTGATGGTATCCCATTCTAAAGTTCCCAGCTCTGGTCAAAAAAACTCACAATGATATAAGAATGATGCCTGAACCTTGGCCAAGTTTTACATTGTTTGTTAAAGGAACATGAATAATTATAAAGATAGATAGATGTTTTTAATATATGAAACATGCTGTTTCTTTTAGACAGAAGTTAAATCTGATGTATTTTTATCTCTTTTTGTCCTGCTCGTCACATCTTGCATTTTTTGCAGTTTATTTCCTTTTTTAATGTTTTTGTTTGTCTGTTTGTTCTTCTGGTGGATTTACAGGGTTTCCCACAAAGGATGAGACTTCAGAGACGATTGTACAGAAATTGTTTTCTTACATTTAGGATTCCTTGTAGGCCAAAACTGGCTTATTTCTGTGCTTAATCATTTCGTAAACCATCAAAATACTCAATTGAATGCAGAACTCAAAAATCAAGCTTTAAATCGTCATATTTTTGAAGTTTTAGGTCGTCTTTACAGTCTCATCCTTTGCGGGTAAACCTGTAATTGCATCCAATAAACATGAAAAAAGCCAAACCGACCAAATAAGCCACGAAAATTTGCAACATTTTTTGCTGTAATGTCGTTCTTGAAATCTCACATTTTTATACTTTTTTTAAAGGTTAGGACTAGCATACCTTGGAACTAATTATTACAAGAAAAAATTTGAATGGACTGAGGTATACAAATTTTATAAGTTATTATTTCAAAATAAAATTACTTTTATTTGATATTCTGTTTTTTTATTTTAAATTGACTTGAATGCAAAAAACTGATAAAAAAGGTTTTACAAGAAATATACTGAAAGTATGAACTAGTTATCTATAATGTTTATGTTTTTATGTGTTTTCTTAAATAGCGAATTCGTGCTTCAGAAACGATGAAGGGATTAGAATTGAACACTTTTCAAAATTGAATATTGATTGATCTGATTAAGGTTTCAAGGGTAATGGATTGATTTAGAGATGCTCCTCTTTTTATGACGGAAGGTTACTTGAAATTACGACGAGATTTCCTCCAAATTTTATTTATTTAGGTTGGTTACCTCAAAACTATTTACATCTATCCTTTAAAATGTGGAAAGGTACGGATCAAATAAAGTTGTTTTTATGAATACTCGAACAATTGTCGTCTTCTTTCTTTTATCATTGAAACTAAGTTTTGTATCACATTCAATTGGAAATGATCATATGATATTTAAAGAAAAATATTTATAATTAACAAGTTGTACAGGTTACAATAAACTCATCCTCATTTATTATTTTAGAAAAATAACGCGGCAATATTTTAATGTAATAACCTGAAAACAAAAACAGACTTCACAATCATAAAGTTCATAATTATCAAGACTATGGTAATTCTACATGTGATAACCAGAAAATTCTCTATAATAGTAAGATTACTTATTTACGTCCCATGAGCATGAGACACAAGTAATTGTGCAGTGTAAACAGACCCATGCTTCACTAAAGTATCCTATATAATGTGTATGTTAAAACTTTGCTTTGTACATTTAAGTATGGCTATAATGTCGTCTTCCAATGCCATTGTTTTGGTTATCATTGTACTACTGTCTGAAAAATGTCTGAGTTTAACATTTATCATTTCTTAAGGGAATAGAGCTTAAACAAGTGAAATGCGGACCACGAGGACCTGAAAGGTAAATAAAATGTAGGTGTTTCAATAAGCATACGAATAAAAAGACGACATATTGCCTGTAAATATCTGGGTTGCGTCTTGTGAGCTTTCCAAATAATTTAAATACATGAGCCAATTATTTAATAACTTGAAATCTAGGAAAATATTTAAAAATGCTGATATTGAAAAAAAAAAGCAGAAAACAATTGCGGAAGCTATGAGTTTTTATATTGTAACTGTAGATTCAAGAGGATTACAGGGAATAGCTGTATTCACGGAACAATGCCTGGCGATTTTAAAATCCTCATTAAGATCCCATGTTTATTGGGATACAATCTATTTGAAGTTTGTAAAAAGCTCTACAGAGTACAGAGTGATCCACGTCATAACACAAAAATTTAGAATTTTTTTCCTATTTATCAAAACAATGAAGACGACTTTTTATTCAACTTAGTGTTTCGCTACTTAGCGAATTCCCTAAAGACCTAATGAAATCTATAAGTACCGAGTGGTATTTCTCTGGATAGGATTGTAAGGCTTCCTTCTCTCAACGCTCTCCATAACAAAAGGATGATAATAAGGTTCCGAACGTTTATTTCTCTAAGCCTTCAATCTAAATAATCTTTTATAAGCCAACAGAAAAAGCATTGAGTGATAAATCATACAAATACAGCAATAAATCCACTCAGGCATTAAAAACCTGTGGCAAGGAACCCATACATTACATCATACAATATCAACCATAACCGAACATAAATAAACAATATTCATATAAATATAATCATAATTACCGCAGTGGTCCTAGAATTTTCACACGGTTTTAATAATCGACGAACATTACATGAAATACAACTATATACTGAAGTAGAATCTGCTCGCTCCTACGCAGAGAACTTGCGCATGCGTAGTCGGACTGTAAACAGCTTCTAAAACTAGTTCTTCACAATACGTTCTGTACAGATCCTCAGGGGGAACTCAGAGAATCACAGGGGTATCACATAGACTTTATGAACGCAGCGTAGCTCGCGTAACACTTAGATTTCTTCTAATCATTATAAAAAGCAGAGACACATAAACCTGAAAAAAAAGAATTAACAGCTTCTCTCTGTTTGCTTGTAATTTGAAAAATATATTAAGAAAAATTCATCTTCATTGTATTGATATAATTGAAAGGTTTTTAAAAAAGATAATTTCAAAATTTTACAAAATTATTTTAATAGTATTTCAGTAATCCAATTTTTCCCACTTAGGGATTCTTAGGGCCCTGGGACCCTCCCCCTGGGGGGGGGAGAGGGATCCCAAAACCCGGGAAACCCCAAGTGGGAAACAGCACCCCAATATTTATTTTTGATAGTGGGGAATACATGAATTGGTATTTTTTAGAAATACATATTTACAAAACCTATGATTTACCTCTTGGATTGTTTTATTCCATTTTCTAAAAATTGCGACCTTTCCCTTTAATTTAGTTTGTTTTAGTTTCCTTTATCTGGACAGACAGTTTGCAGTGTATAGGATTGGAAAGGAAGAAGTGGAAGTAATGGATGTAAGGTAGACAAGCTGAGATGAGATTTTATTTAAAGAGATTGTCAACAAATTTAAAATTGACATTTTAAGAGCTATAAGTGATCTAGCATGGCACCCTATAATTCTTGATTTATGTAAATCTTTGAGTGTTTGCAAATAAGAAAAAAAGGTATAATTGATAAAAAAATCTATATGGCTGTAGAGTAAAAAGTTAACTTAAAGTGATCCCTTATTATAAGTGTCCTGATTCGAAACGGTACCCTTTAAGCTGTGTTAAAGAAGTGACATCGTCGTTTTTCAATCGTACAACGTGTTGAATACTGGCAACTTCTTTCATCGTCTCTGCAGCATAAATCCGCAAGTCAAAAAATAATAGTGTATTATGCATCATTGAAGAAAGAGTACCGTTGTGGATTGAACATGTTACTTTACATGTCACTTAAAATAACTGTCCATTTAGCTTTATGATTCTGTCCATAAAGGAATTGAGTCTTTGCCACATACTCTGATTTTATAATTCCAATATCCTTGCAACCAAATGTCGTATAATCTGAGATATTTCAAACTATGAATTCTGTTTAATCAAATAATCTAAGGTTTACACCATCAGCTGTTTAGCAAAAATGGAAAAGGTCTGTAGAGAACAAAAGATTCTTTTACAGAACCATCGTTAAAAAATGAAAAAAAGTTATTCATATAAATAAATAATTATTACGAGCTCTCCCTTTTCAGGGGCCGATATTCTAAACTGGTTCTGCTATCTATGGTTAACAACAACGGCACCTGGACGATAAAAGGTTATGTTTAACGAGAACTTTCCAAAATATTTCCGGGTTTTTTAAATTTTTAAAAATGCATGTATTTAGGGGAAGCCGGGAATGAGCACACATTCGATGAGCCGACAGACTCAAGCAAAAGTCAGTAAAACAAATCTTTTTACTTAATTTTATTTTAACCAGGGGGCGCGCGGAAACGTCATGGGTGTGTGTCTGTACCAAAAGAGTGTGTGTAAAGTTCACCGAACCGAAGGCGTGCACTGAAGGTATACAGTACATACGAATCTCGGTATTTGTACAGTGTAGGAGAGTACATTTGTTTATTGTTAATTGTTTACTTAAAAATAAGTTGTATATACATATTTATATTAGTCAACACTATTAGCCAAATTTGCATGCAAAGAATAAACTAGTCGTTATTCAAGCTTAATTATAATTGACAACATTGTTCTGCAATTTCTTTGACTGTAATCATGTTGTGCGTCTGTACCAAAAGAGTGTGTAAAGTTTACCAAACTTGTCTGCAAACAAGTTCGACTGGCTTTCTCATGCCAGGGGGAGGGGGGGGAAGGCGTGGGACGCCCCTTAGCCTGGGTGAAAGTTCTAATAGTTTACTTGAACATTGTCTTCAACGACTTTAAAGGCATTTGTTTGTGTGTTCAGGTGTTGTTGGACGGTTGCTAGATATTCAGCTGGAAGGATTAGATTGTGGAGACGACGTGGCAAACTGGATTTCTCAATTCATAGGACTCTGCATTTTCTTTAATTTTATTTATATACATATATATATATATATATATATATATATATATATATTACAGGGAAACCCTTAATAACGAATACATCGAAAGAATTCATCAAATGTCGTATTCTTCACTTTCTGATAATGGAATGTTGCAGATATTTAGTTTTTTAATTTAATGATTATATGGAACTCTTTAAAACTGTTCCCGCATATTGATGGCTATTTATTTATTTTCGCAAATACTGAGATTAACGTAATAAAGTGTAAAACTCATTGAAAAATTGTCAAGACGACATTTGATAAATTCTTCCGATGTATTCGTTATTAAGGGTTTCACTGTATATTATATTAGCTGCTTTGCAAGTGTTGTATCCAAGCAGAAAACAGAGATTACAACTGTATAGATTGAGATTATACTATAGCTGCATTGTAGGTGTTGTAACCAGGTTTTGGGATATTCAGCTTCAGATTGTGGGGATGGTGTAGTGTAGCAAGCTGGATTTTTAATCTCCTAGGACTGAATTTTCGTATAATCATCACAGAGTTAAGCGTATAGATAAAATTTTTACTAGAAATTGCAGTAAAAGAAGGACGCTTGTATTTTGTAATTAGCCAGCTAGAAGTGGTTTTATATTCATCTTTAAATACATTTCACCTTTTTAAATAAACTTTTTTATCGTTTAATTTCACATGAAAACTGCAGGAGAGCCGTTACGTCTTCTGAAGCACAAAGCTGGGTCCACAAAGTAATTTTTTAGGAATTTAAAAATTTCACGAGACCCCTTATTTCTTGAAAAAACTTGCCCCCTTTTTTCTCTCAAATTAAAGTGACCAACGACAATCATTCTAAACCTGGTGTTTGATCTCTAGCACTATAATTTACTATTAAATATATCATAAATATAATTCGTTTAAAAGGAGAAGAAAATTTTTTTTATTTGATTTATCTTTAATTTCACATTTCTATTTTAAGTCGGATAGTGAGGCCTAAATGGAGAAAAGCATTTCCGGAAACATTTCCAGGTACAAGTACAAGTACAGGTGGAAATTAGAAATTTATTCTTTGCAAAGTAAAAATTATCCTTTAATTTAACCCCCCCCCCCCTCCAATAAATGGTCTATTGAATTAAATTTTTAAACCATATACTGGCCGTTATATAGTTATCATATTTTATTATTTTTCTAAAGAAAACAAAATATTGAACCATTTTCTTTTATTTGAAAGAATTTTTGACACTTTACAGGTTCTTCTAAGTTCACAGTGCCTACCTATGCTGATGTTACACCATACATGATTACTTCAGGTGATACGGTAATATAAAAGTTAAGTTTTAAATGAAGACATTCCGAAAAATGCTTCTCCGCAGAATGTCTTCTGGAATTTTTCGTAGTTAAGCTACATCCTTGAAATCATCTCTGGATTGTTCGGTAGGTTGCCCATCCATAGTCTCGAAACAAAACCTTTACTAGCTTATTTCTTTTATTTTCAGGCTTAATTTTTCCAGATTAAATCTTGAAATTACTCGGATAATTACCTAAAATGGCCATCCTAGAGTCTCAGTGCTTTCATTTAAGCTTATTTAAATTATCATTTAAAGCCTTTTAAAATAAAAATTGATTTAAATTTTAATTTTTAGTATTAAAATTAAGAAGTTGTTTAAAATGAAAAATAAAATAAACTATAAACGCCATCAGGTTTCCTTGATTTGCAGTTTCCTGAATAAATAAAATAAAATAAGAAATTATTTAGACACAGTTATTGAAAAATTTAAATTTAAAAAAAAATAGAAATAAACATCCAAAATAAAAATAAAAATAAAATAAAATTCAGATAGTCTTTGATGTTAGCAAACAGTTAATTATGTGTTTTAGATAAAGGCACACCGGCTCCATGATTGAGTTTCCAGACAGGACGTTCATCCTGTCCGGAAAAAGCATGGGTCCGGTGCTCATTGAACACCGGACTCATGCCGAGAAACCATTTGCTCTCATCTTTGACTTTTCTAGCTGTATAAAACATAATAAAATTTTAAATGTTAAATATTTTTGTTAATGATAATTCAAATCCTTGTGTTTTATCCAATAGATGTCATTGTACATTTTTCTTAAATAATTAGAAATTAGGGTTAAAAATTTAACTTGTTTCGCATTTTTTTAATAGTAAATATATATTGTTCTAATTTCTTTCCAGGGACATCTGTTGGTGGATAGTGGGTTTCTTTGTTAAGTATTGATTTTCTGAATATTTGTTTAATGTAGACATGTCTTTTGCTCACTTTGTCAAACACAGGTTCCAATACACTGTTTAACTTTTGTATCTTTTGTAGTTTTGTATCTGGATTTTCTAATTCTTTAATTAGTTCTTGTGGAAATCCTTTTTCTTTTAAGATTGTTTTAACTAATGTTGTTTTGATTTATATATTCTTCATTTGAGCAGTATGTGTTTTCACTGTTCGGAAATATTCTAAACCTGCCATTTTTTTATATTTCATATTGGAGTTAAAGGAAATTATATCGAATTTAGATTTATCCTTTCTTAGAAATGTAGTTGTCGGAAATTTATTTCCTGGTAAATTAAAGATATTGATGTTCAGAAATTTTCCATATATAAACATAACATAACAAGGTCGTCTTTCATCTTTTGAATTAGTTGCGGCATTTATTTGATTTAAAACCTAAATTTAGATGTATAATTTACAGTTTATTCCCCTATTTTCCCCTTTTTGTGCTTTCAATACTACCGGAGATGTGAACAAATTATAGTTTAGATTTCAAAATTTTGGTTTTGTTGTTAATCTTCTGTAATATATTGACACCACAAAAAAGGCAGACCACATTTTTGATATGCCAGGACTATGAGACTTGTGAAATTATTGTTTCAAGAATCATGCATGTAGAAGTAGTTTGACGAATGAATGCCGCAAACAATTTCAAAGATCAAAGACGACCTAAAAGTTGTATTGCCTACTGTATTATTTGGAACAAGTGCTTCAGTTTGAAATATTGTAATTAAAACTGATTTTCTTTATGATAAAGTTTAAATGGGTATAATGTAAAACTTATCTGTGTTATAAAATATTAATATATTATCAATATTCACTATATTCTTATTTTCTTCTAAAGGAATTGAGTCTTTGCCTCAAACTCAAATTTTCTAATCCCTATACTTTGTAACTTGAGGAAGGTATTCGACATTAGGGGTCAAATATATAAGGATTATAAAATCTGAGTTTGTGGCAAAGGCTCACTTGATTTAGAAACTTCTCTTGAGGACTTAAACTCTAAACTTCCTTTCCCAATGGGTCATGATACTTTCAGGTGAAATTTAAACCGTAATTTAAAAAAATGCAACATCCCAAAAGACGACATCTAGTGTTCTATCTATATTGTTATTAATCTATGATCTAGGCCTAATTTTGTTGTGGATGGTGCTGAACTGAAACCCTGGACTGAAGACGACATCTAGTGTTCTATCTATATTGTTATTAATCTATGATCTAGGCCTAATTTTGTTGTGGATGGTGCTGAACTGAAACCCTGGACAGAAGACGGCTGGACTGGACAAATAAGGTTTTACAATACATAATAAATAAAATAATGAGAATATTAAATTATTAAATTATTAAAATATTAAATTGTTAAATTATTAAAATATCAAAATATCAAAATTAAGTTAGAATACATAAAGATATCGAACAATAATGATAATGATAATCGTTTATTTGGTAATTAAATAAAAAAAGAATAACATTGATAATGATATAGGATGAATGATAAAGAATCATGAATGAAAAAGGACGAAAATGAATTATGAAGGATGATAATGAATGGCAATTAATAAAAATGAATGATAAAGGATTATAATGAAGAAAAAAGAAAGTGTTACGCGAGCCATGCTGCGTGTATAAAGTCTGCTTATCGCCCCTGTGTATTTCTGAGTTCTCCCTGAAGATCTGTACGGAATGTATTGTGAAAGAACTAGTTTTAGGAACTGTTTACAGACTGACTGCGCAGGCGCAAGATTTCTCGCGGAGTAGTGAATAATTTATATCAGTATATGTTTATTCGTCTTGCAAGTTTTAACCGTGTCCAGAATTCTGGGATCACTGTGGTAACTATTTTTATATATACTTATGCTTATCGTTTTGATTATAGTATGATTGATATTTATATATGTGTTTGTTGGTTCCTAGCCACAGTTTTTTAATGCCTGAGTGAATTATTTGTTGTATTTGTATGATTTATCACTCAAAGCTTTTTCTGTGGGTTTATTAAACTTATTTAGATTGAAGGCTCAGAGAAATAAACGTTCGGAACCTTACTATCATCCTTTTATTATGAAGAGCGTTGAGAGAAGGGAGTCTTACGATCCGGTCCTGAGAAATACCACACGGTACATATATTAGGTCTTTAGGGAAATCGCTAAGTAGCGAAACAGAAAGAAAATGAAGAAGAATGATTAATAATGCATAAAAATTAAAATAAATAAGAATGAAAAATTATGAATAAAAATAAAAGAAAATTATTAACAATGAATAACAAAAAAATGAAAGAAAATTAATAAGAATGAATAATAATGAATAAAACTAAATAAAAATGAAAGAAAATGAATAAGTATAAATAATAACTAAGAAAAAATTAAAGAAAATGAATAAGAACCAATAATAATGAATAAAAATGAATAAGAATGAAAAATAATGAAAAATAATGAATAAGAATAAATAAAAATGAAGGAAAATGAATAAGAATGAATAATTAATAAAATGAGAGAAAATGAAAAAGAATGAATAATAATTAAAAAAAATGAGAGAAAATGAAATAGAATGAATAATAATTAATAAAATGAGAGAAAATGAACAAGAATGAATAGTAAATAATGATATTATTAATAACTCTAATAAAGGATCGGTGAGGTAGTTCTGGATTTTAATCTACCTTGCACCCGATGTTTATCAACCAAGGTAAAAAATTACTTACATTTTTTTAATGATTTTTGGAGAAATTGAAAAGATTTTATAAGGCCAAACAAACTCTTTAACTAGAGAAATCTGCAACTGGAGAAATCTTCCCAAATAATGAACCTATATCACAAAATAACCTTGCAATTGGAGAAATCTACCCAAATAATAAACCTTACAGAATAACCTTGCAATTGGAGAAATCTACCCAAATAATGAACCTTTATTACAGAATAATCCTGCAACCGGAGAAATCTACCCAAATAATGAACCTATTTACAAAATAATCTTGCAATAGGAGAAAACTATCCAAAAAATGAGCCTATATGTAATTACAGAATAATGCTGCAACTGCAGAAATCTACCCAAATAATGAACCTATATTACAGAATAACCTTGCAATTGGAGAAATCTACCCAAATAATAAACCAATATGACAAAATAACCCTCCAACCGGAGAAATCTACCCAAATATTGCCATTATTACAGAATAACCCTGAAACTGGGGAAGTCTACCCAAATAATGAACCTATTTTATAGAATAACCCTGCAACTGGAGAAATCTACCCAAATAATGAACCACTGACAACTCTGAAGACCTTTAGACAGCATAGCAAGTAAGAATAAATCTTACAAATTACAATATGAATATAAATAAACAATTTTGCGTAATAAAGCATTTTACATTGGTTTAATCTGCAACAAAAAAAACCAATTTTTCGCTGTTTACCAGTTTCCATTTTCCTGAAAAAAAAGGAATTTTTATTTTAAGAGTTAAATGAGTGACTTAACTGTTCACGGGACTCTTTGACACTTTGCCTGAGCAAAAGTGATGGAAATATCCTTAGTTTTCTATTTAGAAATTAACAAGTTTTCATTGTGATTTCTTTCTGAAAAGTGACACACGTATATATATATATGCAGCAGCGATAAGGAAGGAAATTCACAGCCTTTTTCCCTTTCCAAGACATGCAGGTCTGCCGTTTTAGTAATTGTAAATTGGCGTCCAAACTAGGATCGCAAAGGTTGGCCCAGATCGGATATTCAAATGTACACCGAATGTGAGTGAAGATAGAAAAACGAAAATATCTCCCTTATTTTTACTCAGATATGTCTCGAGATACCAGTATGAAATGGGAATGTGACTTAAAATGGATAGTCATTATATATAATATTGATTTTAGGGAGTTGACCCATATAAGAAGAATAGTCGGTGATTCTCCTACTTTTGGAGTTCACTTTAGTCCAGTTCAACTTGGTACTGTCAGGTACTGCAGGGTTCATTAGATTACATAAATAACTAGAAAACTATGAAATACGAAGACGACTTTCTAGTCATGTTGATACAGAGCAAAAATGTTTACTAGTTATTTATCAAATCACTAATTAAGAAATGTGGCTGTTTACACTGCTCAATTGCTGTGTCTAATGTTCATTGGACTAATTGAAGTTAGAACTTGAGTTTAAAAGTCGTCTTCTCATTTCAGAGTTTTCTAGTTATCAATGCATACACTCTAATATTGTAATCCCTATCTTCTTAATCTGATGGTGTAAACCTTTAACAATTGATAGTTTATTTTATTTAACAGCATTCACAGTTTGAAATGATAAAGGTCTACAACATTAAGTTTAAGAAATATGGGATCAAAAGATTAAAGTTTTTGGCGAGTAATCAGTGCCATTGAATTGGAAGTCATAACAGTTTGATACGAAATTCTTTTTTCTACTTTTTGACTAATTCAAATACTTATTGGCAATTCACGGACAACAAATTGAGAAGGAGTTATTGTTTTAAATCATATTTACAACTCATATTATCATAGATTAATTAACAATAACAGATTGGACACTAGATGACGTCTTTTTAAGATTTAGGTGTTTTTCGTTCACAACAACCCTAAAGCAGAAGCCCACAGGAGTTCCACGTAGGCAGCGTTGAATTACAAGAGAAAGTGAGAACATCCGCGTAACTCCTTTGGGCCTCTGCTTCAGGGTTCTTATGAATAAAAACCCTTAAAATGTAAGAAATAGAATCCTAAAAAGTTAAATAAAAGTGGAAATCGGTAAAGATTATATTCAAACAAAGCATCCCAATGACAACTAAAATTAATTTTCGATCCTTATATCTGGTTTGGTAAAAGTAATAAGTATAGATTCATTTTTCGTTGAACTATATTTTTCACAAAAATAAATGATTTGATTTTTATTAATGTTTAAAACTTACTTCTATAGGTTGGGCGACAAAGTTATGGTCAGAAGAAGATAAATTAGAACAATCAATCTATTGACAATATTTTAAATATATTTTAGATTTCGATGTTCTTTCTTTTAGAGAAATTAATTCTGCGCTTGACAGAGCTTTTTTGTAATTTCTTTAGAAAAAGAGTTAACTAAGACGACATTGATTCCACGTTTTATTCATTGGCAACCATTAGTGAAGTAATTTTTCTTTCTCTTTCTTTTATTTTGAATTGTCGCACGGTTTTTTTTGTAACGGTTATAATTGACATAAAGGATGAGACTTCAGAGACGACTGTGCCGATTTTTAACCGTCTGTTACCTTTTATGTATCATTCCCTGAAACTGTAAGGATTCCGCTTGATTATCTGTAAAGATGATCTAAAAACTAAGTCCAACCAATGGGGGTTTTAAGAATTCGATATAAGGTATTCTTTTACTTTGTCCCCAGAAAATGGATTATAATATTTGTCAATATAGAACAGCTTGCTGACAAAGTTCTCAGCAATTACAACATTTTCTATTGATAACTTAAGGTTAAGTCAGTCATCTCTGATTAGTCGGAGAATGTTACCGTTAAGTGAATCGGAACCCAACCCTACAATATTGGATGGTCACTTAAAATAAGGGTTTTAAACCGGAATTCCGTTGCGCGCAATGATTGCTTTCGCTTGCGCCATTTCATAGCGCGGAATTGCGCTTTAATTGCAAACAATGAAGCAATTAAATATTCGCGGAATTGAGAAGAATTGCGCGGAATTGTGTGCAACGGAATTTCTCTATAATGTTGTCAATCTAAAAATCAATAACTTTGAACTGTGACTTAAAAATTTATGCAGCAGATACAAAAATGGAAAGAAGCTATAGATTTGAAAATAATCGAGGATCACTTGAACATTTTTCAATATTTTAAAATTTTTAAAGTTTCTTGTGGTTAAGCTACTAATTAACAATTTGAAATGATACATTTTGTTGGTTAAAATTGTAAGATTCATTTAATCAAAATTAGATATTTTGCTACAGTGAGAACCAGAAAACTATGGTATAGGAAGACAATATTACAGTGTATTAGATGTCGTTAAAAAGCAAAAAATTCAGTTAAATGGGTCTGTTTGGGTCTAAAAGTTGCCAGAGTTTTCTGGTTATAATGAATATTATAAAATGAAAAATTAAGTTTAAATACAATTTTCTTAGCATTTGAGACTGAAACTACCAAAGTTCAAATGAATTTTTTGAAACTCAATGTTGTCATTATCTACTTGAACAGGGCTACCTAAAGGATTAGCCTATAGAGACGACCTGAAACCCTTTTAAAAAGACGATTTCAAGATTAAATCTTCTGCCTTAAATAAAGTCTCTGTATATAGCCTTTTTGATGGCGCGAAAAAAAAAGTTTAAAGTTGCGGGAGGCCTGAATATTAGGAAACAGACAAGGAAAATTCGTCTCTGAAGTCTCATTCTTTGTGTGTAACCTTGTAAGCAATGCGAATTGTGATAATTGCTGATTCAAAATAAGACGACTTTTTATCGATATCGTATATATTATGTCATATATTATGTTCTGAGTTCGCAGTATTTCTTGATTTTCAGGTTTCTATAACCGTTCACTCTGCTTAGTTTCATACAGTTACTATAGGATACTATACCTTTTTAGTCTTGTCTCACTTCTAGCAGTTGTAGCAGAGTTGGTTTATACCATTCTAGCAGCTAGGGTTAGGCAATAGCTTAATTCGTCTTACAGAAATTTTTATATTTTAAGCCTTTTGAAAGGTTTTACGACAATTTGAGAAGGATGCAACGATTTAGAATTGGTATTCTGTAGAATTTTTGCTTTTAAAAAACATGCAAATTTTTTATCCTAGGTGAAAATATCAGTCAAAAACGAACCAAACACTATCTTTTTTGCTTTATATTTTCTTCTAGGGTAAAAAATGCATGTTTAATAAATACAAACTTCTACAGAATAAAGTTTTAAAATTTTTAAGCCTTCTCATATCATTAAAAGTCTAAACACAAAAATCATTGAACATTTGTAACATTAAATTCTTTGAAAAATCCATATTTTTGGTAATTTTTATAGCTAGAAAAAATATAAACTAAATTTTGGAAAACTTATAATTGTTGCAACCGTTTCTTTATACCAAGGGCGTAGACAGAAATAAATGTGGAAGAGGGGGTGAATTTTCTGTTCACTTCGTTTAATAATAAGTACCGGCCGACTCAGTCCTGGGCAACTATCGCAACAATATGTATACAGGATAGAAGACAACACGAAAGTGAGGTTACTGGGTCAGCAGGGGCGTAAATAAGGATTCTGTAGGGGGGGAGGGGGTAAATTTTATTAATGTGGATCGCGAAGCGCGCTGAATTTTTTTTCCCCCCCCCCCCCTAGAAACATATCATGATGTATATAAAATTATTGGTTTTAGTTGGGTTTGATTTGCATTTTCCACTCATTTCTGGCATTTACAAACTCCATCAAATAAAGCTTCATTTCATACCTTTCAGCTTTCACCTTGTTTTATATACTTCATTAATGTCATTCATTTTACATTAATACAAAGATTTGTAAAAAAAAACTGAATTTATTTTAAGTAACATAAACAATAGTTTTACTCCAAGAGGAAAAAGATGTAACTTTTTTAAATCTTTAGAAAAGCTACTCTGCAAAACATTGAAAAAATATTTCTTTGTTTATATACTATAAATTTATAATTTCTTAAATTTTCTTGTCGTCAATGCACTAGGTATATATGTTAATTTCACTATATTTAAAGAGAAACGTCTTACTTTTTAAAATTAATTCTTAATAATCTTGATCTTTTAACATTTTATTTCCCCCCCCCCCCCCCGGAAGAGCTTTATACTTAATTTGACATATAGTGCAAATGCGCTACTGCATTAAAAAACTCGATTTTTGGGTAAAATTTATCTATGTTACTTTGTTAAAGTTGATTGAGTAAGATTATCAGCGCGAAGCGCCAAATTTTTTTTTTACATTTTTCCTTAATAATGGTAATCATGGACATGGAGAATGGAGATCAAGTTACTAATCGGAGATATTTGTGTCCCCTTGGTTCTACGGGGATTCAAGGGGGGGGGGGGGGTTAGGTAACCCCAATAACCTCCCTTATTTAAACCACTGTGGGTCAGGCTGTTTTTTTATCTTGAATTCAAAACTAAAATAATTTTGCTTCCAAATGTTCAAATATATCTCTAACTGGAGTAGGAAACTTAATCTGCATTTTTTAACTAGAGAAATAAATTTCAGATATTGAATAAAATGGAAACAATAAATAATTTGTCATCAACTGAATTTTGTCGTATTTTTGAAAATATTGTGGAGCACTCACCGATGGTAGGCAAATTCTGAATATTTTAAAACTTCTACAAATTTACATCTTTACCAAGATTATTTAGTGTTTGATTGAGCAACAGTGTTTATCACTAATCATGTCAAATTAACGACAAACATAAGTACAGTGATAACCAGAAATTTAGAAAACAATGGAATAGGAAGACGACAAAACAGTTTTACTAGCCACTTGTAAAATCACTAATTTCGTAATATAGGTCTGTTTACACTTCACAATTGACGTGTCTCGTGCTCATTGGACTTTTTAAAGTTATATCTTTACTGTATAAATATTTTAATCCATATCTTCTCAACCTGATGGTGAAAACCTTTAATAATTTATAGTTTGACTATTTGATATAGCAGCAATCACAGTTTGAAAGGCAAAAGATCTACAACATTAGGTTGCAATGATATGGATTAGACTATTATAGTTTGCAGCTTGTAATCAATGCATTTGATATTAAATTCTTATTTCCTACATGCATCGAGGGGGGAGGGGGTTCTAACATTACACTTACTCGCATTTGTAACACTAACCAACCACAAAAGAACATTGGAAATTGGAAAAAGGATCACACAGTGACTGCAATCCAATTAATTTTCCTTATAAAAATAAATATGCCATAATTTCAATTGCTTGTGAAGATAAAAAATATTTCATGAAAAGTAAGGGTCTGTATACTGTTTTTATAACATTTTGCCTAAAATATGTGTTCAATATCATATTTGATCGTCCGTCTTTAAAATAGGATAGTATATTATATATACATATAAGTATAAGTTGTTCAAGGAGTTTTAACTACTGAGGATCGTCATGAAAGATTATGTTTAGTATAATTCTTTTTGAATAAAAAATGTGAAGTTAAAAACTGAAATAAGTATAAATATATATAATTGGAAAATTATATTAAAAAATTTCTAAAGATGGAGTCGAAGAATAATCCTGTTTTATCATTGTTTTCAAATATATATATACCGCGTTATAATAATTTTCATGTTTTAGGTCGGAGAGGAATTAGATCGTCTTCGTCCATTTAGTAGCAGCAACCAGTTCCTGCAGCTCGTGGATATCGTCATTAAATCTCTCCCTAATTGTCAGAAGGTATAAAAGCACTACGATCTTCCTAGGCTAGATTTGTTGCATTAAACGTGTTGGGTCGACTTTACACCCGGTAGTTCAGACTGGACGGTACGACCAAATGCATATACAGACAGTACATCGTGTACAAGCTCGGATTAACTTTTAAACGTGACACGACCCCTTAAGAGTGATGGAGGGGATGGCTACACTACTCTAAACTAAAATAATATTGAAGCATCCTGATTTAGCTGGAAAACTAGCAGACTCTATATAATCTAGCTTAATACTACTCTAGATTGAATAACTGGAGAAACATCCTGATTAAGCTGGAAAACTAGCAGACTCTATATAATCTAGCTTAATACTACTCTAGATTGAAATACTGGAGAAACATCCTGATTTAGCTGGAAAACTAGCAGACTCTAATCTTCTCACCCCAGAATCAACAAGGTTTAATAAATTTTGTCGATTCACAAATCCTTAAATTGGTCATTCAAGGGACTGTAGTTGTAATCTAAAGTGACTCTCGGTTTAAAAAAGAGGGGCACACTTCATTTCCAAAGGTACCCTTTACACTTTTATCTAATCAACAATGCAGAAGATATCGTCAAATTTAGCTTAATAGTGTTTAACTCCTATGTTTCTGTATAAGAAAAAATCTGCGGGTAAAATTTTTAAAGAAACAACAGTTGATGGAAGATGGTTACTTGAAACTACTTGTACAGTCCCTTTAAAAAGACTAAGTTGCTCAGTTTTGCATGGAAAAAAATTTCTGCATTCCAACCCAAATTTTTTAAATAAATTATATAAATGTAGGGACCAGCTTAAGCAACTTATAATAAGTGTGTAGACTGTGGAAAGTAGAAAGCAGCTTGTTTAATGAATTATATAAATGTAGGGAGCAGAAAGCAGCTTGTTTAACGAATTATATAAATGTAGGGCGCAGTAAGCACCTTGTTTAATGAATTATATAAATGTAGGGAGCAGTAAGCAGCTTGTTTAATGAATTATGTAAATGTAGGGCGCAGTAAGCAGCTTGTTTAATGAATTGTATACAATGTAGGGAGCAGAAAACAGCTTGTTTAATGAATTATATAAATGTAGGGAACAGAAAGCAGCTTGTTTAATGAATTGCATAAATGTAGGTAGCAGTAAGCACCTTGGTTACCAAATTATTTAAATGTAGGGAGCAGCAAGCAGCTTGTTTAATGAGTTGTATAAATGTAGGGAGCAGTAAGCAGCTTGTTTAATGAATTATATAAATGTAGGGAGCAGAAAGAAGCTTGTTTAATGAATTATATAAATGGAGGGAGAAGAAAGCAGCTTGTTTAATAAATTTTATAAATGTAGGGAGCAGAAAGCAGCTTGTTAATGAATTGTATACAATGTAGGGAGCGGAAAGCAGCTTGTTTAATGAATTGTATACAATGTAGGGAGCAGAAAGCAGCTTGTTTAATGAATTATATAAATGTAGGGAGCAGAAAACAGCTTGTTTAATGAATTATATAAATGTAGGGAGCAGAAAGCAGCTTTGTTAACTATTAATTTTAAGACCTCTCCAAAATGTCGTCTTCAACTTGAATCTCCTCTCGGAGACAGCCAAACCAAATTTTCAGCCCGCAATTCCCTTTGTACTCCTCCCACGGAGCTTAAAATATTTTCGTTGTTGTGAAATCATTAANGGTCTTTCTAGTATACGATTTTTGGCCTTTATTTTTTGGTTATTTAGGGTTAGGTTAGGTTAAGATACTGAGACGGGGTTACTCTGTTGTGTGTATTTGTGCGGCCTATCGGGAAAGAATTGTCCGGGGAAAATAAACATCCCCCACCAGAATCCTAACTGGCCTATTATCCTGATTTGTCTAGCGTGTTGCTGTTTTCCGTCAAAAAGCTTGTTTACCAAATTATTTAAATGTAGGGAGCAGTAAGCAGCTTGTTTAATGAATTCTATAAATGTAGGGAGCAGAAAGCAGCTTGTGAATAAATTGTATACAATGTAGGGAGCGGAAAGCAGCTTGTTTAATGAATTGTATAAAATATAGGGAGCAGAAAGCAGCTGGACTTGATCTTATGTCTCCTGAACAAAAACAAAAGATTGTAGAACTGAACAATGTCTACAGGTAGTAAATGTCTCTTCTAAACAATGTCTCCAAGTAGTAGATGTCTGTACTAAACAATGTTTACAAGTAGTAAATGTCTGAACTGAACAATGGCTACAGGTAATAAATGTCTGTTATACTGAACAATGTTTACTAGTAGTTGGGTAATGGGGTGGAAGTGGCCAGATGTGGGAGTTGAGGATGTTCATGGTGGTCTGAAAGGTGGCTTCAGGTAGTAAATGTCTGTAATAAACAATGTCTACAGGAAGTGAATGTCTGAAATAGATAATTTCTACAGGTAGTAAATGTCTGAAGTAAGCAGTGTTTACAGTTATTAAATGTCTGAAATAAACAATGTCAGCAGGCAGTAAATTTCTGTAGAAACAATGTCTACAGGTAGTAAATGTCTGAAGTAAACAATGCCTATATACAGGTAGTAAATGTCTGAACTAAACAATGGCTTTATACAGGTAGTAAATGTCTGAACTAAACAATGTCTATGTACAGGTTGTAAATGTATGAACTAAAAAATGTCTATGTACAGGTAAAAAATTACGTCGACACTTACTGTGTTTTTTGAGGGGGTCAATGACAAGAGATAGAAAATCTGTGTTTTTTGTACAGTTATACAACTACAAGCTTCACATTTTGTAATAAGATTGACCAAAAGAAAAAGAAAAGTCACCAATCATTCCGTTTTTGATTAAAAATATATATTCTAGATCTCAGTTTGGGTTTACGTTTGTTGTCTGTGCGCGGGAAAACAAAGCTGACTCTATTCTTCGCGGTTTAGGAAAAAAATTCAAATTTATGGAAAATAATATATCTTTCCAACTTTATGATTACTAAAAGTGGCGTGATCACGAAAAATTATAATGATGGTCAAGATGAAAAGATGATTACAAAAATATGTTTGTTTTTAAAGATACAGGGTTACCCACAAAGGATGAGACTGTAAAGACGACCCACAACTATAAAAATATGACGATTTAAAGCTTGAATTTGGTTTCAGCACTCAATTCAGTATTTTGATGGTTTACTAAATGATTAATCGCAGAAATAAGAAAATTTTGGCCTAGAAGGAACTCTGAATGCAAGAAAATGGACTAAGAAATTTCTGTACAATCGTCTCTGAAGTCTTATCCTTAAGTGTACCTTATCTTAAGATATTCAAATAAATAACTTTTATTGTAAGAAAAGCAAAATTGTTTTTGAAATATAAATTAAAACCCATTAAATATCAAGTAGGAAAAAGCTATTCAAAATGAGAACATCGAGTAACAATTTTTTAATGAATATTATAATACAAAAATTTGATGTTTTTCCTTGAACTGAGCAGACGGCAGGTAAAGAATAATTAAAAATTAAAATTTTCAAAAACTAAAAATTCAGAGTTGACAAATAAGCATAAGTATAAACTTTAAGAAGTGTAACAAAGTAAAGGAATACAAATCCGTCAAGATATCACCAGAAATCCGCTAAGATTGGACCCGTTTCTTAATTAGATTGGAAATTAAATATAACTAGAAAACCATCTAATTTCTTTGCTTTCACATTGGTGCAAATAAACCAATAATTTTGAAATTGGAGGTCTGCGAATGTTAACATCAAGCAAATGTTAAGAAGTGACAACATTGTTGGTGAGAGAGGGAAGGATTTTATTCGCTTTTCAGCTTAACAATGGGAGAAAATCCCCCCCCTTCTCACAAACAACTTTGTCACTTTAAATTCGATTATGGTGATGGACCAAACCTCTGTAGAGTAAAAAAGGAGATGTTAGTTCCACATTTATTAAAAATATATTTCGGTCTGGGTTAACCCTTGTTAGTTCTTGAGATTATTTCTGTCACAAAGATGACATTGACACTTCCGAATCCGCCATTATCAATTACGTCATATGAGGATTTTGAGTGTCAACGGCTGTGAAGACGATTGTTAGTACATTGGAGCGCATTCAGGGTATCTGACCTTATTTTACAACCTTGAACTGTATTAAGGGTGCTTAACACTGCTGAGAGAGAACTGGAGATTGGGATTAATGAGGTATCCAAGATTGCAAGACTAAGAGCTCAAGATATTCTATCTTCTTACCAATCAAAACTGTAATTTTCACCTTTCTAACCGAATAAATCTGAACATGAATATTTACATTACTTGTCTGAAATCCAGCTTTTTAGTCCTCATATATTTGTAACCTTGTATAATTCAAACTTTGACTGTTTGATCTAGCCGAATTCAAGGTATGAAATATCAGAAATCTACAACTACAGGTTGCAGAGATATAAGGATTAGAAAAAAAGTTATGTGAGAGGGCCAATATTATAAAAAAAAATAGTTTTCTGTTCATTTTCAAAATAAAAATAGATAAAAATTCTAAGATAAGAGTTATTTCACATATATTACATATTATTCAATTTATTGTTCAATCAAAAAAACAGATAAACATCTTCATACACATTGTTTCATGGACCAATTGCCATGGACAAATCTTCAGTGAGGTCTGAGTCTAAAACTAAAGAATGCGCGAATTTTAAGTTCGAGGTTAAAAGTTCTGTAAAATAATGAATAGCTACTTAAATATTAAACTTTCTCAATTTTAAATTTGAATTTCCCGGGAAAAATCTGAACCAATCAGAGAAAAGGATTTACGGAGAATATTACATATCTATCGCTAATCAGCTGTTCTTACGTAACCGAAAACAAAACATACAACCGTTTTTTGGGTTTACATCCAAAAATTAATTTATCTAAAACGTGAAATTTCTTTAACAAGGTTTTCACTTTTAAATATATCGTTAAGTTGAATGCCGCTTTCTCAGCTGCAGCCGAATGATGATTGAATAATAGACAAATAGGGAAAATGCAGAATTTCAAGATTTTAAACCTGTGTTTAAATGTTAACTCGTCGATTTCGGCGAGTTAAATATTTAATAACAGGGTTAAATATTTAACCTTACGGTTAAAGTTCAGGTTTAAATTAAGTCAGAAGTGGCATTTAACCATGAACTTAAAATTTAAGTCAAAACTTTTCGTTCTTTAGTTTTAGACTCTGTTCTCGACTGCAAAATATTCCAGTATTTTTTCTGTTTGCGTATTTTCAGGGAAGAGCTGGCGGATTAGTGTTATTTTAATTTAAAATATAATATTACAAATTACGTATATTAATGGTATAGTTTAAATTTGTTAGGAAGGATGTTAGATGTATTCGTTATTTACTCTCAATTTCCAATTTTATAAACCTGCTATTTAAAAGAAATCTTTAGTCAGCCTTTTGATAATTAATTTTTTTCAGGAATAAATATTAAATATATTGCACTTAATTAAGTTGATTTAGGAAAAGTATCAAATTTTGGTAACAATAAAAATGTAAGCAATATTTAGAACAAGTCAGCTCATAAATAAAACACATTCTAACTGAATACAGACTTTTTAAGCATATTAATGGGTGTTAATCCATTCTTGATATTTCTAGTAGACTTGATATCCACACTAATCAAAGGGTGTAAACCCATTATCTATGTTGCAGACTTGACATCCACTTTTCGCACTCATCTGAGGGTCTAATCCAATTCTTGTTTTTAGTAGGCTTATAACATCCACAATAATCAAAGGGTTTAAACCCATTCTTGATATTTCTAGAAGACTTGACATCTAGAATAATTAAAGGTTGTAAACCCATTCTCGATATTTCTAGTAGCCTTGACATGCACTATAATCAAAGTAAGTAAACCCATTCTTGATATTTCTAGTAGCCTTGACATCCACTATAATCAAAGTAAGTAAACCCATTCTTGATATTTCTAGTAGACTTGACATCTACAATAATCAAAGAAAGTAAACCCATTCTTGATATTTCTAGTAGACTTGACATCGACAATAATCAAAGAAAGTAATCCCATTCTTGATATTTCTAGTAGCCTTGACATCCACTATAATCAAAGTAAGTAAACCCATTCTTGATATTTCTAGTAGACTTGACATCCACTATAATCAAAGAAAGTAAACCCATTCTTGATATTTCTAGTAGACTTGACATCCACAATAATCAAAGGGTATAAACCCATTCTTGATATTTCTAGTAGACTTGACATCCACAATAATCAAAGAAAGTAACCTCATTCTTGATATTTCTAGTAGACTTGACATCGACAATATTTAAAGTAAACCCATTCTTGATATTTCTAGTAGACTTGACATCCACAATAGTAAAAGGGTGTAAAATTGCAAGTTGAAATTTGTGAAAATGTAAGTGAAATGGAGATTTTTAAAAATATCTTTTTTAAGGTTCTATTCAATATATCTGATGTCGTTGTCAAGGGTACAATACTGGAATAAAGTGCACTTATAACAACTGAGATAGAAGAGTTGCCTACATCAGGAATAGACAAAATAACAATATACAACTAAAAGATGTGTATTTTCACTAAATGTCCAGAGGCCGAATTTAAAGAATTTGATCCGCGGTTTAAATTTAAGCCGCGGCTCAAATATGGTTGGTTCCACTAAATTTGTATTAATTTTTTCAAGATTTAAGCCAGCGGTCAATTAAAGCCGGTTTTTGGCCGATTTAAGAAGCGGCTCAAATTCATTCGGACACAGGTTCCAGTTCATAAAATAACCAGTTTGTTAGTACTTGGTAGTGTAAAAAATATTTGAACTTTTAAATTACACAAAAAGGTGAGGATCTAACTTAAACTTACAAAGTGACTACAACGATTTGCAGAAACTTATAAAAAATGTTATTTCCCATTTCTAGGTTTGATCCCAGATTTACGGCTATCTATCTATCTACAAATGAATCTAAATTCAAAGTTTTCCTGAAGTTTTTATCTCTCTTCAAAATTTCCAGGAAACTCAATCATTCATTTATAATCTGAAATACTTAAAACAACACACAAACATGTATTTACTGGGTAATTTATTCTTTTATAATCATACAATTCTTTATCAAAATAAATCTAATGCTTAGTTGACAGAAAATAGTATTTTTAAGAGTTGATTAAAAAGATTAAAATAGCAAGGAAAACAAGTATTCGAAATTTTTTCTTTCATTTTTTTCAAAAGATTTATCAAGATCATCTACTTTTTCGCAATTGGTCAGGATTTTCATCTATTTTACTAATCTAAATTCAACAGTCAACATGATCGTATTGTTTCAATTCTAACAAAATAATAGTTCAAGGTTCCAACGTCCCTTTAAGAAGCCTTTCATATTTTTTTTTTATTTTTTTCACATAAGGAGCAAGTAAATTTTTATTTCTTAATGTATTTTTATGTAATATGATTCAACAGATTTTTCACGTAAGTGCAAGGATACAACTTGAGTTTCCTTGGTCTTTTCACTGCTTTTTAGTGCAAATGATTTTCAACATAGCTGGCTACCTTTGTTAGGGAAATTTCTCGCAGACAAACAAGATTTCTCACGGCCAGAGTTTTTATGTTCTAAACCAAATTGTTATCTCTCAGAACAACCAGTTATGTGATATTTCATGTGTTTGGTTAGACCAAATATTAATTGGAAGATTTTAGACCAAATACAAATAATACAGGGGAACGTGTTTTAAGAACGTTCCTTAAACGTTTTCATTCACAAACCCTTCCTGAAATAGATAAGAGGTAAGATCGGGGAGAGGTTGCTTTTGGTTTAAAAATAAATTAGAATCTTGAAATCAATATTTGGGGGTGTAAGTGTACATTGCTAGATACATTTTGTAGTTGAGGGTTTAAGTAGATAACAACAAAACCATACAATATTTCGGTCCTGTTATCAGAACTTTTGTGTTTAGTATCCTTGAACGCTTAATCCCTCAATTACAGTTATCTTTGCAAAGTATGACCACCACGCCACTGAATATTGAGAAGAAATTTAATCAATCCGTAATCTGCATAAGATGATGATCTCGATAATTATTCCCGAGATACAGAATACAAAAGTGTTCACTTTGGGATCCTTTTCCAAAATTAATTTCCCTCTAAAATATGAATTCGAACAAAATTAATTTGTAGAAACAACTTTTATCAGTTTTGCTCAGGTTCATTTGTGTATCAGACATGCCCTCAACAAATGTGCGTCACTTTAAAACTACGTTTAATTAAAATCTGTTTTGCTTTTCTTTTAATTTTTTTCGTCACCTGAATGAGCCTCTAGCTGCCTAGCAGTCTACAATCTTTACATTGCATTCTGAAAGAAAAAACAGGTATAGAAAAACACATCTAAAAAATTATCGGTCACTTAATTATGTTCACAGAAAAATGTATCAATATTCAATATAGTATAAAGTGAAAAGTATCATAATCAGAAATAATAATAACTGATAATGATCTTTGACACAGAAAATCTTTCGACGAGGGCATGTAGGTTGAAGTAACATATTTTATAGATGTAATAATATTTATATATTTAACAATAAACTAAATGTATGTATTTTTGTTTAACGTAAGGCAGGCAGGACGGGAAATGGCGGGTGGTGTTTTAAAACTTTTCTCAGACATTGTTTTACAATAAAAATTCAAAATTGACTGATTAAAACCTGTTTTTAAGTTTAAAGATAATATTTTAACGTCCAGAAAAGATAATAGATTTACTTCACACATTCTTAAGTTTTAAATCTAATTCCGTCAAATCTAAACAAGGTGAAGCAATCAGAATTTGTGAATAGTTTTTTTTTGAAAATCATTTGAATTTATAATGGAAGTGAGCGGATTCTTCAGGTAAAAAACGGTGAACATTAACATTTTCTTCCAAATAAACATGAGAGAATAAAAATAACCATTGTACACTTTGTAATTATAATTTATCCTTTTCCCTCTTTTATGTTTCAAGGACATTCCCTTTAAACGTAACTTTTGACTGGTAGGATACAAAATTATTATTAGATGCAAGTTTACACAGTGTAAAATTCTTCTTCTATCTTTATCTCATCTTTAATCACAACAAAGTGTCCATGTTCCATTGGCTCCATTGGTTCCTCAGCATCTGCTTCAATTGGTTCCAATGATTCCTCAGCATCTGGTTCATCTGCTTCAATTGGTTCCATTGAATCCTCAGATTCTGTTATTTCTCCGAATTCCTCTTTTTCTTCTTCTTTCTCAGACGTTACACGGATCTTGCGCCATGATGCTTTAACTTTTATATCAACTTTATGTCGACTCTTCATGTGATTTCTCAGATGTATCGGTCTTGTGGCGGCGTAGTCACAGAAATCACAGGGGTATCTAACCCCATTATGTTTGCTGTCCTTGTGTCTCTGTAAATGAAAAGACAAGGTCGCAACATAATCACATTGATCGCAGGGGTATGTTATACCCATATGCTTCTGCTCAATGTGTTGTTTTAATAATGTTAGAAAGGCTGATACATAATCACATTGGTCGCATGCAAACCTGATTCCCTCGTGTTTCTTCTCTATGTGATATCGCAGTACTGAAGGCAGGTGAGCAGCAAAATCACATTTATCACAGAAAAACTTTGGTTCTTCATGCTTACGCTTCGTATGGTTGAACAATGCTGCTCTCGTGTTCGATACATGATCACACTTATCACAAGGGAACTTTACACCTGGATGGACAGTATCAACATGTTTGTTTAAAAGGCTCGGTTTGTCCGCAACAAAATCACAATGATTACATTGAAGAATCTTCGCTCCTGGGGACTCGACTTTAATGTTTAAATGCATCTTTTTAATGTGTTGTTTCAAGTTGGACGGAGTACTGCTACGGTAATCACATTTATCACAGGGATGTTTTTTCCCAAGGTGCTTGCTTTCTCGATGGTACTTCAACAGACATTGTTTGTTCACAACAAAATCACAATCTTCACAAGAGAACCTGGGGGCTTCATGTTTAAGCTTCTTGTGGCTTCTCAGAGTTGATCTGGATCCTGCGGTAAAGTTGCATTTATCACATTTTATTTTGATGCCTAGATGCTTGCTTTCAACGTGATACTTCAGTTGAGAAGGTTTATCTCCAACATAATCACACTCGTCACAGGTAAACACGGCCATAGTGATGGTTTCAGCCTAAAAAACAGATTAACTTTAAAAAAACAAGTTGGACGAGAAGTATGTGGCTATTAATCAGTAATCATTGTTTAAAAAAGCAAAAGAGGGTTTTTTAAAAATCCAAGGATACCACATTTAAAAGATGAATTGTTATGCAATATACTTTCACAGTATCTAAAAGTAAAAGAATTGATTAATACATTTAAGTAAAAAACTGTCATCAGGGAACTGAATTTTTGCCACTAACTCAAATTTGCTAACCATTCACAATTAAATTTTGAGGTTTTCAAATTAATCTTTGCAACCAGATGTTGTAAACTTCTGATATTTCAAACATAGAGCATTTGATCTAGCAGCAGTCTTAGTTGGAAATATCAATCTACACATGCATTGGGTTGCCTAGATTTAGAAAGGAGACACATAATTTATGGTAATACCTCAATTCCTTTGTCAATTTTTTACAAAAATAAAATTTACGACCTTATATATGACAAGAAAGTAAAGCACGCAATTAAGCAGAAGATAAAGGAATAATAAACATTGGACAACTATGCGGGTTTGCACAGAGGACGATGCACTTGGAAATGTTTAAACTAAAGAATGAGCAGTCGACCCTGATCAGCAATCAACCGATGAAAAACCTTCACCCAGCAAAAGTAGTGCAAACCCCAGAAATTGGCATTGATTTAAGGAAAATGACATTTAGTAACTTGAACTATTTCGTCATATGAACTATTGATATTTATACTTTTGTTTATATTAGTATTTTTTAGTTTAATTTTGCTTTCTAGTTTTCTGTTTAATTTCAACATATTTAGTTTTTCTTTTTGCATTTGATTATTTATTTGATTTATGTATGTCATAATTGTATGCAAAAAACATAATCGAAATGAAATCCTCTCTACTTTCAGTGGCCCTTGTGATGAATTCATTATTCAAACTGCTACATTTGGAAGCAAATCTGGTTGACATAAACAATTGTCGAAATATTCAATAGTTCAAGCGACAGTAGGTCGGACATTATAGCATCCTTTTTTACACATTCTAGCAGCAGAGATTTCGTTTTTCTTAAACAAGTGCAAATTAGGGTTTGCCTCATTATTTTCAGTACGGTGCATTTTTAGGCTAAAAAATGCTTTGAATCCATTCAATTTCGATCCAGGAATCGTCCTATTCTATTAAGGTCTGAATCCATAAATATTTTTCTTGGTTATTCTATTTTTCAACTAATGAAAATTGTCCGGAAATCTTTTCACTTATTACCAACTCATTATGCAACCCATAGATTGATTAAAATAAAAGATATAGGACACTAAATTTTGTCCTTTTAAGATTTAGGGGTATTTCGTTCACAATAATCCTGAGGTAGTTCCGTGTAGGCAGCGCATGCTCTCTATAATAAAACGATGCCTGCGCGGAACTCCTTTGAGCTTCGGCCTCAGGGTTATTGTGAACGAAAAACCCTTAAATCTTGAAAAGACGACATTTAGTTTTCTATCTGTTATTTTAATTAAACTATGATGAAACTCCTTGAGAGTTATATTTTTAAAGAAAACAATCTTTTTCTTATGAATTTTGGTCAATTTTCTTGGATTAGCATATTTACAGGCTGGGAACTGAATCCAAGAGCCAGACAACTGCGGAATAGGAGAACGATATTTAAGCAATTGTTTGTGTATTTCATATTGTTTTCAAGAAAATAGTTATACTAGAAGCTTGAAAATTCAACTTTTCAAGTAAAATTGTTTTGAGTACATATAACATGATAATCTTATGAGAAAAAAATTTGAAAATGAAAATTCTTAAATGAGATGAAATAATCTTGATGTATTCTTTAGCGAAGGCCGCAGACTTAAGTTAAAGAATGCATCAAGGTTATTTCATCGAGTTTAAGAATTCCATTATTACAGTTTTATCCTCATTTGATTAATATTATATCATATTTGTAAGGTTCCATGCGCACATACCCAAACAAATATACTTAAAAAAAACTCCTGGTGAAATACGATTATTTCAAGTTGGAACAATTGACATTATGAAGGGTTGCAAATGAGTTTTAATATTTCATTGATGCTCTTGTTCTGACTATCACAGTTTTTTTATTTTCCAATGTTACAATTTTAAAATGTTAGATACACTTTTCATAAGTAAAAGTTGATTCTTCATGATAAATAATTCATAAGGTATGATTGTTTCCTTAGTTTAGTTTATTTACAATTTTTTAATGCATTTCCTTGTTTTTTCAAGTGGATGCTATATTTAAATCTTCCAAAAAGAGGAGCGGGTGATGTTAATTTTTTACAGGGGGGGGGGGGTTAGGGCCCCCCCCCTTCCAATCTTCTGTCAGGATTAGGGTTAAGATTTAAATGGAAATTCCTGATCTAAGGTATTTAATTCTTCTAAAACGAAAAAGGTAAGTGAGCATTTTTTAATAAAGTTTAAGGGTAAGTTTGCATGTTTTAATAAAGTTAAAAGGTGAGTTTGCACTTTTTAATAAAGTTAAAAGGTAAGTTTGCACTTTTTAATAAAGTTAAAAGGTAAGTTTTCATGTTTACAGATAAAAGGCAAGTTTGCACTTTTTAAAAAAGTTAAAAGGTAAGTTTGCATGTTTTAATTTAAAAAAAGGTAAGTTTGCATTTATTAAGAAAGTTAAAAGGTAAGTTTGTATGTTTTAATAAAGTTAAAAGGTAAGTTTGCTTTTTTTACTAAAGTTAGTTTGTAGGTTTTAATAAAGTTAAAAGGTAAGTTTGCATTTTTTACTATAGTTAAAAGGTAAGTTTGTTGTTTTAATAAAGTTAAAAGGTAAGTTTGAATGTTTTAATTTAAAAGAAAAAGGTAAGTGAGCATGAAAAGGTAAGTTTGCATTTTTTAATAAAGTAGAAAGGTAAATTTGCATGTTATAACATGAAAGAAAAAGGTAAGCGAGCATGTTGTCAGTACAAAATAATTAAGTTCATATCAATATTGATCTATGTTGAAATGATTAATATAAGGATCGGCGTGTCAGAATGAATATTCTTCAACTAGTGTAATAATTTCCAAGCTTTAATACACGGAACGTGTAAGAATATACATTCTATCACGCTCTGACCGTGTAATAATTTCCATTCTTACATGGGCTGAGCGTTAAAGAATTAAAATTCTAATGTGGGAATAAGCATTCTTAAATACTAGGAAACCAGCCATATTGAATTTCTTCTCCTGGACCGTGTACTAATGGGAATTCTTACACGATAGGTTTACTACTCAAACCGAACAGATAGGATATAATACGTATTACTAACTGTGTTTGATACTCATTAAGACTTTAAATCCTAACTTAGCGTTTAAAAGTCATCTTTTTACTCTATAAATCTTCCTACATTGTCAGTCCTTTAAACAGAATTACCTTAATCTGGATGTCTTTCCTCGACAAATTTTAATATTCCAGGCAATTTTAGAATTTCTGAAATATGAAATATTTTAATATCAGTATTTTGTTCGAAGAAATGTTGTATATTAAGTTATAAAAAAAATATCAGGTCCTGTGTAATAAAAATACATTTGTAATTAACCAACAATCACATAACTGATAAAGTACGCAAGATGTTTATCTTCAGGTTGGGATTGCGGTAAGTTTCAAAGACAGATAACGAGGGAGGGAATCCCCGGACGTCATGAGCCTCTGCTAAGCAGACACAAGCCTCCCAGATTTGCAGGTCAGACCGAGCCTCCACTATGCAAACGAAGCCTCCGCTATGCAGACCGTGCATCCACTATGCAGTGAACGAGCCTCCACTATACAGAACAACTTTTTTTAAATCTTGGTTTTTATGTGTACCACTTTATTAGTCACAATTAGAAACTATTTATGATAATTAATAAATACTTTTCATCTTTGAGAAACCTCTCATGCCACTATGTCAAAACATTTTGCATTACACATAAAAACCGATTAAAAAAAGCTGTTCTGTATGGTTGACTGAATAGTGGAGCCTTGGTCTGCATAGTGGAGGCTCGGTCTACATATCAAATCTAGGAGGCTCGTGTCTGCATAGCGGAGGCTCATGGGGTCCGGGGGTTCCCTCCCTCAGTTAACTCAATATCTTAACGTTAACTTTAAAATTAAAGAGATAATACACATTTTTTAAAATGTTTAAAACCATTTTTTGGTCACGACCTCCAAGCTTAGACAAAAGAAAAAAGGTTCTTGCCTAAAGTTGGAATAAGTTTTTTTTTTAAAGGACTATCATCATCATTATCACAGTTGGTCTTAAGGACCATTTGATACAATTATAAATATAATTAACAAATACATAGACGGCAGAAATTACAATTTTAGTCTTGGAGATTTTAAACCTAGTTGTTTTGCTTATACATTATATTATTTGGTATTTCATTATCTCGTTCAGTCTTTGGGGTTGTCCATAGCATGGATCTCTTGTATTGTGAATATCGAGCTCAATTTTCTCTCAATTGTTTGTTAATCTGCAGAGGTCAATTGAATCTTTATTTGATATCCCGCATGGGAATCGCACACTGGAGGCATAACTAAAAGAAAGATATTAATAATTGATCCTCAAATTAAGTGCCCAGAGTAAATATCGAGATCAAACAATTATAAGAGTATCCAGCAAAAAAGTTCTCGGCGCTCTACATATTGGAGATTTTGTTCAGATTTCGTCTCAATAATATCTTTTGATGTAGATTTGTAAGACTGCTTACAGGTTCGTTGCTCAGCAAACAGTCACTTTAATTCTTGAGGTATTGATTGATTGATTAACTTATATTTCTCTATGCACATTAAAAGAATGCATCTGAAATGGAAGAAAATGGTCTCATGAGGTAGCAACTGAATATTTAAGATTCCGACCACTTCCAGATTCAGATTCCCGGATTTCTAAAACTACTCTTGAGGAAGGATTTGAACTGGTTGTCCAGATACTTGAATATAGTGCGGCATGTCTCCGCTAGGTGGAACCACAAACCTCTGAAATCAAAATTTTATTTACAATTTAAAGGTATCGTTATGAGTTTTATTTTGGAGACTCTCAAAGTAAAATAAATTTACTAAGGCGAACAAATCAGATCTTAGTAAAAAGTAGAGAGAATGCCTTAAAAGGAATTTTGAGCGTAATTTCAAGTGAATTTCCATGCAAAGAATTTCATGTTAGATTCACAAAGGTACCCTTTAAACCTTTGACAGAAACTACGTTTGTAAATACATAAAAGTTTTAACACTTGAATGGAAAAATAAATTATTTTTCAATTAATTTATAAATCTTTAGCAAATATAACTAATATTGGAATAGATTTGGTATAATGATTTGACCTTGAAACTCTGTAATTGGTTGATTATAAGAATTTGACCATGAAACTATCTAGAATTGGTTGATTATAAGAATTTGGCCTTAAAACTACCTGGAATTAGTTGAGTTTAAGGATTTGACCTTAAAATTAACTGTAATTGGTTGAGTATAAATATTTGACCTTAAAACTACCTGGAATTGGCTTAGTATTTGACGTTAAAACAACCTGGAGTTAGTTAAGATTAAGAATTTGACCTTAAAATTGACATTGCTCAATTATAAGTACCTGGAATTGGGTGAGTATAAATATTTGACTTAAAACTACCTGGAATTGGTTGGGTAAAAGAATTTGACCGGCCTGTAGAACTTGTTGACCTTGCTGATGTGTCATTTCTACACTCTAAAGCAGAACGAGAACGAATATAAACTAGTAATTATTCCCCATACATTCTCGGTAATTGTACAATGCAGATATAGAAAATGGTGTTAAAGGGACAGACCTGCTATGTAAGGTAGTTATACTGAGTATGCAGTGAATTGTGGACAAATTCTTTAGGATTCATTTGAGACATATAAAACGTTTCCACGATGTATAATTACTGAGTTTGAGCGCAAAGTCGACGTACGTTCAAAATCATGAATTTGGGTGGTCACGTATTCAAAATCGTTTATTAATTATTAAATAACGACGACGAAAAATATAGCAAAAATTCTATAGTAAACTAATTAGATGTTTAGGAACATGTTTCTCAAAAGAAATTTGTCAATAAATCGAAGTTAGAATTAATAATTTACTTTTTCATCATTAGATTGAATTTCTTATTTTCTATGAATTTGTTTGCAGATTTCTTCAAATTCTTCAAATGTCGTCTTTTTTAATAAAAAATTCCAGAATATCTGCAGAAAATCTTTGTGATAAAAGAGAGATTATAGAAACTAATTATTGAATAAAATTACTTATTTTCGATGATAAGAGTTAATTTTTATTTTCTCAACCTGTTCCTCAATTAACTAATTAGTTTACTGTAGAATTTTGTTTACATTTTTGTCGTCTTTATTTAACAATTAAAATAAAAACAATTCTGAAAACGTATCCATACAAAAATTACGATTTTAAACGTCTACTTTGGGCTCAAACTCAGGATTTACCGATCTTTAAAAAGTTTTATATGTCTAAAATGAATCCAAAAAAATTTGTCCACAACACTGCAGTGCATAGTCAGTTCAACTACCTTACAAAGCCGGTCTGTCCTTATAAAAGCCGAACCCGTCGTTCATGATTAAGAGATTATACAAAATAAAAAATAAAAATATATATGTAAGATATGTCAAAATAAGTTTACCTGGGGCGTATCTAAGAGAGCATGTCCCATGACCTGGCCAGCCTGATTGACCAGCCCAACCACCTGACGACCCAGACTACCGTCTACCATCTACAATCATAGGGATATATATTTTAAACAAGAATATTTCTACCCCCTTCCCCTGGTGGAGGGGAATTGATTGTCATCAATTTGAGGGGTAAATATGATTTTCAACCTTGTGTTATAATTTTGATCCAAAAAACTTATATTTCTTCTAATTGAAGGGGAAAAAGAAGGGGGGGGGAAGTAATTATTTTCAAGATAATATTTACTCCTGTACAGTATACAGGTTAGTGTACATTATATTTTTTTCAGTTGTCTACTCGACATAAATGATTTATTTGCGGATTCCTACAGTAAAGCAGAAACATAATATGATTGAAGGGTTGTGTATCTCGTAGATAAAAACAATACATTCTTATCAATTGTTCATCAAATAAATATTTTTAGAGTCATCAATAATAAGGTTGAAAAAACTGTTTAATTATACCTGTGGTAAGCTGACCTTAACAAGTCCTTCATTATTTTGCCCCAAGTCACCAACCTCAACCTGAGTAATAAATCGTTAATTAGTAAATACCAAATTAAATTACTGTTGTAGAAGTCTCAATAACTCAGAATGATAACATATTTTCACAAGTTTATTTATTCATATGTTACTCGTTTAACATACTAAGAATGACTAGTGTAAAATCCGAGATTGAACAAGTTTGCGAAATATCAGTGAAACTGTTTGCGCATTTATGCAAACTCAATTCTAATTTTAACATGTAGGACAAAATCATATTTTCTTATAACTAAAAGTCAGGCTTCTACACTGTCAAAGTTTTTAAATCATGTTATGCATGCACCCGGCATAAACACTTATTAATTAATCTTATTTTATTGACAACAACCACACTTCTACACTTCAACACTTCAACACTTCAACACTTCAACACTTCAACACTTCAACACTTCAACTTCTCTAGGAGGCAAAACCCGAGAAAATTGCTGGATAAGGCTGTTTTCAAAGTTTTGGGCTCTGACAGAACTTATATCAGCAGGATGAGAATGAGCATTTCGTTAAACAATCCATCAGTTATGGCTGTCCTGGAGCAGCTGTGCATATGTACATCTCCAATAGGTCCTAGAGCCATTTCCAATGTTTCCATTATATTGAAAAAAATCGGCATCCTGAAGTATATTAGCTCTTTGTCCCTCAACAAATATGCAGGGGTCTAGTATTTGTGACTTCATGATGAACAATATTAGTTAACGTATGACATGTAATAGATCAGTACTGTGTTTATTTACAAAAAACTGGTTTGAATATTTACAGAAGATGGCAAAAAAATTGTTATATCAATATTGAAGAGAAAGAAAATGATCGCATTAATATATGTTTCGTTACAACCCGAATACAGGATTAGTACATGAATATTTAAAAATATGTCTCCAATGCATAAATTGGTTTTTGGAGCTCGGACCGGATTAGACGAGATGATACCCTATCGAAATAAATATAAGAGATAACTTTTGATACAGAAAAATGAACACTCCCTTGCAGTATAAATTCTACAAGAATGGATTTTTTTTGACAACTATCCACCGTTCTTCCATTTGTTAACAACAACATCATGGTGAATTCCTTTTGTTTACAACATCATGGTGAATTCCAATTGTTTACAACAACATCATGGTGAATTCCATTTGTTTACAACAACATCATGGTTTATTCCTTTTGTTTACAACATCATGGTGAATTCCATTTGTTTACAACAACATCATGGTGAATTCCTTTTGTTTACAACATCATGGTGAATTCCATTTGTTTACAACAACATCATGGTGAATTCCATTTGTTTACAACAACATCATGGTGAATTCCTTTTGTTTACAACATCATGGTGAATTCCATTTGTTTACAACAACATCATGGTGAATTCCATTTGTTTACAACAACATCATGGTGAATTCCATTTGTTTACAACAACATCATGGTCAATTTCTGTGCCGCATATCAATCAATCAGCATTTGGGATCGCATTTCCCCTGTGGGCCTCATAAAACCTTACCCCCCGGGGTTATTTTATAATTTTTAATATTATCATTATTTTTACAAATTTTTGTAAAAATGAAATATTCTTGTAAAATATCAAACAACAATAGACCACCTATTACATACATTTACAACATACAATTCATGCTGCACAATACCGTTGAGTACAGTAGAGTTTACAAGTATACGAGACAACTACCTGTATTTGCATTCCCTCTACTTCGTTCTCCTTGGTTAGTCTTTTCTTCTTCCTATTCTCACCACGTAGCTTCTTCTCCACGTGACAGGATCGAATATGCTTGTTCAGAACACCTATATTCAATAATTAATAGGGTGGACAATGGGGATCATCTTTCATGAATTTGGAAAAAAATGAAAAGTTTGACAGTTATATAATGTATCAGAAAACAGTTAAACTATTGATCACACAACAGTTAAACAATTGATGAACAACAACAATTCAATTGGTAAGACAACAGTTAAACTATTGATCAGACAACAGTTAAACGATTGATGAACAACAACAAATCAATTGGTAAGACAACAGTTAAACTATTGATCAGACAACAGTTAAACAATTGATGAACAACAACAATTCAGTTAAACTATTGATCAGACAACAGTTAAACGATTGATGAACAACAACAAATCAATTGGTAAGACAACAGTTAAACTATTGATCAGACAACAGTTAAACAATTGATGAACAACAACAATTCATCGGGCCTAAATATACAATTTATCAGGCAACAGTAAAATAATCGAACAAGGAAAAGATAACAAATTGATAAGCCCCGATTAAATAATTGATTAGGCATCAACAATTGATCATGCAACGGTTAGACAATTGATCCGACAAAAGCTAAACAATTGATCAAACAACAGCTACACAATTAATCAGACAACAGCTAAATACTTGAACAGACAACAGTTAAATATTTGAACAGACAACAGCTAAAGAATTATTTTATTCTAAAAAATATACTTCTTGCAATGTTGTTGTTTGCAAAAACAATTTTGCTGATTTTGTTTTTTAAGCAGTCAGCACCAAATAAAAAGAAAAATGTTAAACCTTTATGCTGAAATAGCTTTCCACAAACTGGGCAGTTAACCTTCTTTCCAGTGTGCAGGACCATATGTAGAGAAAGGGAACCCTGCTTAACCTGAAAAATAATCGTTTTAAAACAAGAAAAGAAGATTTTTATGCAAAAAGGTTAAGTAAGTTCTTGAAGACATTCAAAAAAGAGCATTGAGAATGACCTCTGGTCTCAAAGGAAAGTGCTATGAAGAAAAGCTAAAAAAGGTTGAACTCTATTATCTGGCGAAAAGAAGGAAAAAAAGTTGATGCAATTCAAGTATGGAAAATATTAGCACAGTATAATCATGAAGATGAAAGACATTGGGTTGAAAGATGTTCAGAAAATTCAACAAAAGATACCAGATTGGCCTCGAATATCCTCAATCTACATAAAAGAATAAAGAAAACACTCTTTTAGTGTTAGAACTCCCAAACTTTGGAATGACATCCATTACAGTGTTAGATCTTCAAAAACTCTGAACAGTTTTAAAAGAAAAATCATGAGATGTATGGCCCAAAACATACTTAAATGTTTGTGGCCAACAAAACTCCCATGAGCATTGAGCCCCTTTACATGGCCACGCATGTGGCTCTCTTAGCGTGCACAAACCAAGTATAACCAAATATAACTAAGTATAACTAAGTTTACCCATGTATAACCAAGTATAACCAAGTATAACCAAGTATAACCAAGTATAACCAAGTATAACCAAGTATAACCAAGTTTAAAAAAGTATAACCAAGTATAACCAAGTATAACCAAGGATAACCAAATATAACCAAGTATAACCAAGTATAACCAAGTATAACCAAGTATAACCAAGTATAACCAAGTATAACCAAGTATAACCAAGTATAACCAAGTATAACCAAGTTTAAAAAAGTATATAACCAAGTATAACCAAGTATAACCAAGTATAACCAAATATAACCAAGTATAACCAAGTATAACCAAGTATAACCAAGTATAACCAGGTATAACCAAGTATAACCAAGTATAATCAATAGCTTTAAATAAAGACACTAAGGATAATGCCAACATCAACCAAACTAGATATACACAGAGTAACTTTTGAATTGAAGAGTTTTAGTTAGATTCCGAAGATAAATATAAAAGTTTTAAAGACCGTGGTGAGGGGAGAAGGACCGACAGCACTTATAAACAGACATAAAATTCACCATTTTGACCTCATATGAAACATTTAATTTTAAAGAAAGTTCTTAATTATTGCTAAACTATTTGGGTTATTAATTGAATTTTGATCAACTCAAGCGCGCAACATATCACAAACAGGNATAGACGAGTGTGACTGTACGCATACTAAACACGTTTACCTTTGCTGAAATATTTTAAACTGAAATTTTTGGGTTTTCTGACATAATTGCTAATTATGTCAGAAATCTATGTTAGATACGAACTTCTCTGCACCATAAGAAACAAATGAAATATTTTGATGTCCCATTGGAACATGAATGGAAAGTTCCGGTTTTACAAGAACTTTTAAATACAAGAATGAATAATTCGATTCGATGATTACGTAATAACTGAAATGATAAATATGTTATGTAGTGAGTAAAAATCAATATTTTCAATTTGTGCATAATTTTGCCTATTTTTTTTTCTTTTCTTTTGGAAACCTGTATTTTCAAAAAAAAATAATTAAAAAAAATTTAAACTACACCATTTATATATGTATTTATATCTTTGTGTGTGAATAAATCTTTATAATAATAATATAATATTGCAAAATTCACGCTAAATCTGTTTATAATAATAAGATGGATAAACCTGTTTGCCGCAGATGGAACAGATAACCATAGGCATGAGATGATTCTTTACATGCATATCCAGGGACTTAGACGTCAGGAACTTTTTCCCGCATTCAACCTTAACATTAAGAAATAATTTAAATAAAAAAATTGTTATCGGTACGAATAAATATTTCCGATTTAAAATGTTTTATGTGGATTAGAAAATATATGGATTTTTGAATTTTTTTATGGAAATGTGAATGTAAATAATTGTCTTAATAGTTGAGTTTACACTATATACCGTTTATATAAGTCCAGTACATTAAAGTACAGTACGGTAAAGTACAGTATAGTACATTACAGTACAGTACATTAAAGTATAGTACGATAAATTACAGTACAGTATATTACAGTACACTACGTTAAAGTACAGTGCAGTACATTACAGTATGTTAAAGTACAGTTCAGTACAGTACAGTACAGTAAAGTACAGTACAGTACGTTAAAGTACAGTACGATGTAAAGTTAATACCTCTGGACAAGTGAAGTATAGAATATCTTCTGAATGCGTGAGCATATGTTTATCTATTGATTCCTTCGCCTACAACCGATTAAATAATCAAGTAAAATCTAGATCAGAAATGAAACCGCAAATGAAACACATAAGGCTGACTGTATGGGAATTTTCAAGAATAAAGAATTGTTTCAGATTAATATTCAAACAACGAGAAGTTAAAAAATTAAAATTATTTTCATCTGAAATCGCCATTTATTATAATCAAAATAATTTTTTTCTTGAACACCACTTGAGGGAGTTAAGGTGCCCTCATGTGATTTGTGAATAAAATAGTACAATAAATTTAGAGAATCAATTATCTAAATATCTAATCTCTCCGTTAATATTTAGATAAATTCTAAAATTTATCAATAATTAAAAACGTTATCAATGTCGTCTTTGAAATCCCCATTCCCCATGTTTACTGGGACACCCTGTAAATACACAATTTTGATCGTTTGTTTGATTGTTTTCCTTATATTGAGCTCCGCACAGATGGCAAACGTGAAAATCAGGTTTTATTGATCTTGCCATCAGTTCAGAAACAATCTCCTATAAAATAATTAAATTTGTAAAAAGAACTGAAACTTTTAAAAGAACAAACATTTATATAATCTTTTGTTTTGAAAAAAAAAACATTTTTTTAGCCATAACACCCTCTGGCCACCCATGAGTGTCCACAAAAAATGTCAGCCCATTCGGTCCAGCCATTTGGCCGGCTATAGGCAACATATATATTAATGTCTTGTTTTATTAGATAGATTTTCTTTGTGTGTCTTTAGGTATATTGCCTTCCAACAATTTTAAATTATACGTTTCTTTAGTCTGCGAAAATATATTTTTCTTCCGTTTTTTAACCATTTTAAAAATGCTACAATTTTATCTTCGAAATTTTAAATTTAAATTTTTCGCGGATTTTTCTGTAAAATTTGTACATTTTTAAAATCAAGTTAATATCATAAACCTTCCCAGGGGTCAAGTTGTAGGTTAAGCCGTTTTGACGTTATTCTTTGGATACAGGAAGACAAACCCAATATAGAGATCTTGATCTCGATATAAACAGTACCTTGTTCTCCCTGGCCTGCCTGCAAGCTGGATATTTATTAAAATGAATATGGAATCCATCCAACGCATTCATTCCCCGGTTACAGGCGAAGCACTTGAACCTCGTGAAGGCAGAACAGTTCTTACGGTGCTCAAGAGAACCTTTCCTAAATGCGAGCGTTCACAAGTTTAAAAAGGTTTTACAGATGGAACTTTTTGATACAGGAAAAACCATGAACTCTGAAATAGGAAGACGACTTTTAGAATCAAGTTATAACTTTAAAAAGTCCAATGAACATGAGAAACAGCAAATGTGCAGTTAAACAAACCCATTTCACTAAATAAGTGATTTAATATGTGTCTAGTCTAGTAAATCTATTTGCTTTGTTTATGAGTTTGTAACAACATCAAATACACCTAAGTATTGCTAAAATGTCGTCTTCTTGTTAAAATGTTTTCTGGTTGTCACTGTGGTTGGTTTTCTTTTTCGTATGTATTAAAACGGTACTTTTCCTGGCATAAATAAAGTTAGAGCATCAATAAAACCGGGTTTAAGAGAGAAGCAAAAATAAGAGCCTAACACATAGTTGACCCGTGACCCCCGAATAAATGAAGAACACGCTGTCCTTGAATTAAAGATTTTTTTCTAATTTTTCAAAAAATTTAGATATTTGATCTTTTTAAAGAATGAAATGACTTAAAAATAGAATTCGTTTAAATTTTTCCTAAATCAATCAACTGCAAATCAATCTTCATTAGTAAATTTCACTTTTTCTAACACTTGTTAATAATTACACATCCCTAATTCTGGCTGGGGACTTCTTTCTTTGAATTAAATAAAATGTATCAAAAACCTCACTTTTATCATATAAAAAATGAATTCTTATCTATCTTCTGAACCTGATATTTAAAATGTAAAAATAAACATATATACAGAAAGAAGGTATGAGAATTAAAATCAGAACTATGAATAGGAAAATTAAGAAAATTAAGAAAATTAAGAAAATTAAGAAAATTAAGAAAATTAAGAAAATTAAGAAAATTAAGAAAATTAAGAAAATTAAGAAAAATACAGTACAGTACAGTACAGTACAGTACAGTACAGTACAGAAGCTGTCATGTACAAAATATTATATTTTAGAAGGAAATCGCAACAAATCACAGTTTTTGACAAAAAATTAACAATTATTGCCGCAGAAAGCGATAATGTTTACATATATTTCCAATAAAAATATGATTAATATGTTTAGGTTAGATGCCATGCCAAAAGCATCACAAGAAGGTGCATGTTTTATCCATTAATATGGTAAATATGATTCAAGAGGCGCCAACATTTTAAACAATATTTAAAAATCCAGTTCTATCTAAAGATTTTCTCGGTTATTTCACTAAAATCTTGAATTAACACAGTAAATAATTGCAGAAAAAGTGTGAATAGTGGCCCTTGCCGTGCCCTTTAAAGGGAGTGACCGGCTATGTAAGGTAATTGAACTGAGTATACAGTGTTGTCGAAAACTTCTTTAGGATTCATTTGAGACATATTAAACTTTTTAAAGATCTGTAAATCCTGAGTTTGAGCGCAAATTCGACGTTCAAAACTCCTGATTTGGGGGTGGATACGCTTTCAGAATTAGTTTTTTTAAATTATTAAATAACGACAACGAAAAATAAAGTAAAAATTATACAGTAATCTAATTAGATGGCTAGGAACATATTTTACAAAATAAATTTGTCAATAAATCAATGCTAAAATCGATTATTTTGTTTTCATTGTTATACTGAATTTCTAATTTTCTTTGAATTTATTCGCTGATTTCTTCAAATTCTTTAAATGTCGTCTTTTCAATAATAGTTATAGAAAATCTGCGAACATCTTTGTGAATGACGAGAAACTAGAATAATGAGATAATAGAAACTAATAATTGAACAAGATTACTTATTTTCGATGATATGATTAATTTTTTATTTTCTCAAAATGTTCCTAAAACTGACGTCTGTAGTTTATTGTAGAATATTTTTACATTTTATGTCGTCGTTAATTAATAATTTGAAAAAAACTAATTCTGAAAGCGTATCCACCCCCAAATCAGGAGTTTTGAACGTCGAATTTGCGCTCAAACTCAGGATTTACAGATCTTTAATAAGTGAAATATGTCTCAAATGAATCCTAAAGAAGTTTTCCACAACACTGCGTCCTCAGTTCAACTACCTTACATAGCCGGTCACTCCCTTTAAGAAACATCCTTTTTTATTTTTCTCGTATTCGCTAGAATAATCTGCATGAGCGCCGGACAGTCAAAAAAAAATATTATTAAATTTACCCAGTTGATTTTCAGGATCTTTCTGACACTTAGGAACCAATATAAAGTGATGTTTTAAAGTTCCCAAACGCCTAATAATGGTTTTTATCAGGAAATAAAAATCTTAAGGAAGACGAACAATATTATGAATGATTATCATCATGCCATCACCAATTGACAGCGGTATCCTTTAATCCTATGCATCCAAATGCATGACTGCGAATATAATCAAACATTTTTATCTTGTGCAAACGTGAATGTACACTATGCAGCAAAACATATGATTTTACTGCTTTTGTACAGGGTTACCCACAAAGGAAGAGACTGAAAAGACGACCTGAAACTCTAATATGGTGATTCCAAGGTTGAATTAAGTCTTCTGCTATAATTAAAATCGTGTATTGTCTTATCTATTGATTTAACAAAGAAAGAAACAAGTCAGGGAATCATGAATATACGGAACAGTATAAATTTCTTAAAGTCGTCTCTGAAGTCTCATCCTTTGTGGTTAACACTGTATATGAAAAAAGAAAACAGTCTCTGAATCAAAAACTAAGGCTCTCTTCTAACTAATTCGCATAAATATAGAAAGAAAAATAAAAAAATAAATTAAATATCCGATTTAAACCATTCCTAAATCCTTTCTTACAGCAGCAGCAAACGTGTTTAATATCTCGATTTGTTGCAGTACACTGTCTTTTATGTTTCCAGGAATCCCTGAAATTATTCTTATTTGAATTATAAGCTCCTTGCCGAAGTGCTCGGCGCTGCCCGTGGAATTTAAAAACACTGGAAAAAAGGTGAATTTACAGGAAGCCCATAACTTCAAACCATTAATTTCCAAGGTTGCCTGGTTATATTTTCATCTATTTATTCGATCTCGAAGTAGAAATCCTTAAAACCTCAATTAATTTCAGGCAACAAAAATGAAGGAAAACGGTCAAAAATGGCCATCAGTTGATCTAATACCCAAGTCTTGCATCATAATGTAACATGAAAAAATTATGTATGTAAATGTATGCAGTAAATGATGTAAATATGTATGTATCCTTATTTATATCTGACAATAACCAGTTATCCTATATACTCTACCAAGAGTTCTGAGAATAAACAATGAGACCTGTAAGATCCTCCACAGTCGGAGCAGGTTTTTCCTCCCGAACCCTTCCCCACCTTCCTAGCAGGCCTAGCACTGCAGTTCTCAAGATGGGGCCATCGGTTCATTTGCATCGGAGCTAAAGATTATAATGTTATCAAGCTTAATAATAAGTAGATCTGAAACCTTTATAGTAATGTAAGTAACAATTTGAAATTCATCACCTAGGGTTAAAAAGTTGAGTTCACAATGAGGACATTTTCTCTTGATACCATGCGCATGAACAGACACTGCAGCGTTTAACAATCAATCAATCAAGATACTGAAGCGTTTAACAATCAATCAATCAAAATACTGCAGCGTTGATAATCAATCAATCAATCCTTATAAAAAGCTGTTTTTGTTTGAATTGAAATAATGTTTATCAAATCACGCTAGTAGTGTTTTAATCTTCAAGTAAACAAAGCTTTCAATTGAATCCTGTAACATTTGCAATGGAGGTTTTATAACTCATTTGACATTAAAACCTTTTTGAAGTATTTTGAACTCCTCTGGTTTTAAACAATATTTCACTAATCAATAAAAAAATGTCAGCCAACAAGAAATAAAAAAATTAAGTTTTATTAAAACAAGGATTTTGATTTTAAAGTTCTAGAAACATAATGTGTGGGATAAATGTAAATGAATAAGCTAAGTCTCTTTTTCGAAAGGATTAGGAAACTATGCTGAATGTTTTCCTAAATGTTTGAGTAGATCATGTTTAGTCTGATTAGGAACACCGCACTTGTAGCAGATATTGCTCACATTCTGACATTTGTCCTAAAATTAGATATTGGTCATATTTTAAAACTTGCCTTAATCCTAAAATTAGATATGGCTCATATTCTAACACTTGCCTTAAGATTAGATATTGCTCATATTCTTGCACTTATCCTAAAAATAGATATTGCTCATGCTCTTACACTTATCCTAAAATTAGATATTGCTCATGGTCTTACACTTGTCCTAAAATTATATATTGCTCAAATTCTTACACTTATCTTAAAATTAGATATTGCTCAATGCTCATATTCTTACACTTGTCCTAAATTTATATATTGCTTATATTCTTACACTTATTCTAAAATTAGATATTGCTCATATTCTTACACTTATCCTAAAATTAAATATTGCATTTTGGGATATTAAAGAATTGGTTGGGAGATATGTTTTTGGGATATTAAAGAATTGGTTGGGAGATATGTTTTTGATGGATTTCACAATATTCCTACTAAGCAAAGGTAACAATTTAAAACAAATATTGCAGGTAAGATTTTTAGGATAATTTGTTGAAAATATATTATGCCTCCGCTCTGGGAGTTTTTAAAAGAAAAAAATCATTTTAAAGAAAAAATTGAGTATTGGGTCTGAGGGTCTGACCAGCTGAGGTTAAAATGCGCAATAAAATAACTGTGAACAGTACAAAATATAATCATGTTAGAACTTAGAAACCGGTTTTCTCCCTGAATAAGATGGCGGACACCATGAAAGCCTTGAGAACGACAAGAATGACAGCTCAGAAAACTCTGAACAACAGAATCAAGGGTATCCTCGCCGGAAACTGGAATATCTCCGACCAACTCGACCTGAAAATAATAATCATATTTAATATAAATATGAACTAAAAAGCACATTTTATCGTTTTTAATGATCAAATTCTACTAAATAATATCCGGCAATTATACTAAATAAAGGATTTTTTACAATTACCTCTGCAAATAGAGAGTTCTCAGCACTTCTATCTTTTGGAGGTCTTCCTGGTCCTCTTTTAAGGACCTGAGTCCGCGAAGAAACTTTAATATTTTTTTCCTGAAAATTTATGAAAAATTTAAATCAGAATACTAGTTGAAAAGGGTATTTATTAATCTTTTATAAAAATATTTGATTTATATTTTTTGAAACTTACAGATTTTGAAAATTCTTCGTCAGAGTAGTCATCCATCGATTCCTCGCTAAAATATTTGGATTTAATTTTAATTTTTGAGACTTGGAGACTTTCTTTTAAATTGAAAAACATGGGATGAATTTTCTTTTAAAATCATACCCCAANCAGAGCCCGCGATTTAAAAGCTACGACTCGAGTCTTTCTTCCTTAGACCCAAGTTTAAGGCTTAATTTTAGACACAACTTATGAATCATCTGACATCAGCGTGTGTCACGTGATCGACAGCTGAAAATATTCCAAATCTTGGATGGTTTTGGCGAAGAATTATTCTGAATGTTGAGTCTTTTCTAATTGAATCCCTCAAATCCGCCAAATTCAATATTAAACCTGTTAAATAAACAAAACTGTGTGGTGCAACGGAAATCCTTAAATTCTTCTCTTAGACCTGAGTCTTATTTACCAAATTATCTAAATCGCGGGATCTGGAAAAATAAAGGATTTTTGGTGGAAAGTAAATCTTTGAGCAGAATAAGATATGGAGAGAAAATGTTAACTGATGTTCAATTTTACAATTTTCTTCCCCAAATATTTTTACCATATTTCAAAATAAAAACCCCTGTAGGCAAATCAAATTTTCACCTGAAATTGTCATCAATAAAACTATCTTTGTCATAATCATCCTTAGGCACTTTCTCTGGAGATATATTAAGTTGTCCACTAGAAGCGCTAGTAGCAGAGTATCCCGGGGCAAATGGATCTTCGATTTTCACTTCCGGTCCACGTGGTTCCACGTGCGTCGCTGGCAATGACAGCTTGAAATCTTCAGGGGAGAGAAACAGAGTGGAATCCAGAAGGGTTATCAATTCTTTCAACTCTTCTAGGATATTAATTTCAATTTAGAATGAAAAATGATTTAGAGAGATGTTTAAAAATAAAGATCTCATGATTTTATTGTTAAATGCCCTTTAGGAACTTGTGAAATAATTTCCAAATGTTTCGAGAGAAATTTTCAAAATATATATCAACCATCAAAAATCTAAACTTAAAAATATGTAACGCTTAAAACTTGGCAAATAAAAAAATGTAAGCAATAAAACATTTACAAAAATTGACATCCCTGTTATAAATACCTTGAAGAACTGGCGTATGTCTAGATATAGTGAGCTGGGAACTAAACTGTAGAAGATCTAGAAACTGTTGAACATGAACACCAGGGAGCAGGATATAATCTACACTATCCTAGAGTTAAAAAGTCACATGTTGACGCAAGGAAACAGATTATTATCAATACCATAATAATATGAATTTATTTAAGGATCTGTCAACTGTCGACGTAATTTCAAATGACCCCCCCCCCCCCACATTGATAGAGTTGCCTGCCCGATCCACCACGAAACACTTTAAACTTTCATCTGATCAACATTGAAAAAGAAATCGTCGTTTTTCCATCCGAATTTTTTTCTGACCGAAAACGAGAAAATTGATTTGTGACTCGAGCATGCCTCATTCTTTCAGAAATGTTACCTGAATTGCGTGTTTGAGAGTTCTAGAGATAACTGCCAGAAATCCTCTATTTATCTCCAACTCTCCATCCTAGTTTTAAAGGAAAGCATCATGATATAATGAATTTTGGGGGGGAATCGAAGAAAACATTATTCTCAGTTATTAGGACAAAATTTTAAAAAAAATTGTTTCAATAAGTTTCAAATGACCCTCCCCCCCCCTCTTTATTTTGATTTCATCTCACATTCTTTGACGGTCAGGGCTACACATTTTGTTGAAGAATCGTTCCCCTGTCCACACATTTCAAAAATTATATCTTCCTCCACTTGTCATGGCTTTAACCTCAATTCCCCAAAATATATAATAAATAAAGCAGCCTGTTCATGAGTAAAGGGACACACCTGGAATCTAAGAGTGATATCTGAGTAAGTTTTGGATACAGCAGAGTTCCAGAACTCCATGTGTTCTGTATACTGGGATCCAGAGGATATGTTCAGCAGACGATCCCCGGCAACCTGGAGTAAACAGTTTAAAGATTTCTTAAACAAAATTTATTATTTGGAAGATATAAAGCGTTAAAGATCAATCAATCAATCAATCAATCAACAGTTATAAAAGATATAAATCAATCAATAAATCTATCAACATTCAAACCAAAATTACCGATCAATAAATTAATCGACAGTTAAACCAAAGATATCAATTAATTAATCTACAGTTAAACCAAAGATATCAATCAATCAGTTAAACCAAAGATATCAATCAATCAATCCATAGTTAAACCAAAGATATCAATCGATCATTTAATCTGCAGTCAAACCAAAGATATCAATCTATCAATTAATCTACAGTTAAAGCAAAGAAATCAATCGATCAATTAATCTACAGTTAAACCAAAAATATCAATCGACAAATCTACAATTAAACCAAAGATATCAATCGATCAATTAATCTACAGTTAAACCAAAGATTTCAATCAATCAATCTACAGTTAAACCAAAGATATCAATCGATCAATTAATCTACAGTTAAACCAAAGATATCAATTAATCAATCTACAGTTAAACCAAAGATATCAATCAATCAATCTACAGTTAAACCAAAGATATCAATCAATCAGTCTACAGTTAAACCAACGATATTAATCAATCAATCTAGAGTTAAACCAAAGATATCAATCAATCAATCTACAGTTTAATCAAAGCTATCAATCAATCAATCAACAGTTAAACCAAAGATACCAATCAATCAATAGTTAAACCAAAGATATCAATATATCAATCAATCTACAGTGAACCAAAGATATTAATTAACTAATCAATGTCTAAACCAATCAATCAATAAATCTACAGTTCAGCCTAAGATATCCATTCATCCATCAACCAATCAATAAATCAGATATAACCCCAAAACTATTCTGCCTGCACCTGATTTAGTTGAAGAATGCTGGGATTATTTATCTGCATGTTTACACACTGGAGGTCTCCACTACTAACCAATGATACATTTGGAGGCCCTGAATTTTTAGAAATCTCAAAATATATAAAGATTTTTAGAAATTAAAATCAAATGTTTCAATCTGAATTAAGAAGCGGTCGGTTTCAGAGATTTATTATAAAACTTTTGGGATAAAAAAGTTCTTAGAAGATATAAAAAAGTGTAGAAAAATCCATCACATGCAGTCAATAAATCTTGAGAAGAGAATATTTTAATAAGAATAAGAATATTTTAATGGAGTTTGTAAAAACTCTATCATGCGACATCCGTAACTCCAGAGGAAAGCAATCATTAATTTTCCTCTTGGATTTTCACTTTGTATGAACATCCTCTTCCCTGCATTTCAACACAGTTTTTGTGAATCTTTAAGATCTTTAAGATAGATAACATCTATAGACAATGAAAACGAATGAAAATCAATGAACAGATGAACTAAATAAATTTAAGTTTTCGGATGTATTTTTATCTTGAAAAATGTTTTTTTTACACGCACTATATAAATAGTGTTTAAGAAAAATTTTAATTTTTATCTCTCACTGAATAAAAAGTTTTTGCAGTTTTGGGGGGTGAACTTTGTAGTTAAACATAATAAAATTAGAAAAGGAAAATTTATTTTTCATCATTTATTTTCATCCCCAAATATTGAAAAATGTGTTTCAGGGTAGCACCACGCAAGGGACAGGGGGGAAGAGATGATCTTTGGTGCTTAGTTTAAAAAGGCTTTTTTAACCCCTCACGATTAAGAATTGTTTCTTTGAGTTTGAGCATTTAGATTGTTTATCCCTTGCTGATGCACCGAAAAAGAATATAACTGAATTTTTATTATGGATACGATGTATTCTACCTTCCATATCTAAGCCATGATGACGAGTAATATTCTCTTCTCTCCGAGTTTCTTCTCTATGGCATGTCTCCCCGCTGGTATTTCCAACGGACAACTGATTATTTGTCATTTCAAACCTTGATTCTAATTGTTGTCTTTGATCCTCCATGTTTAATATCAACATTTCCTTGCTACCTGATTCAAAAACTCATGTAACTAGACATAATAAGGCCCAAAACATAATTGGCTAAAAAGTACTTTAATTTTATATTCATTGCATCTTCATCAATTAATAAATGGAACAAAGTTCTGATTCTGAAGGTTACTTTTGATATTAATTGATTCCAAAGTATAAGTTTCGTTAATATTTAAAACAATGAGTTCGAATTCCTTCGTCCAATGGGAATAGTGCCCGGGCAAATTCATCATTTCTCTCATCTTCCACAAGCCTTTTTTCTTCAGAAAGCCTGTTTTGTCTATTTTCATCTCCACCAAATTCATTTTGTTCCTCATTTAAAATATATTCGTCCGCTATTGATGCCATTGTATTTCTGAAAAATATTAATTCTTAATTTTATTTGTTTTATTTTGGCTACGGCCACGTCTTACATTTGAGATCCATGTACAAAATTGGGGGTCTGTCCTAGAGAACGATTTTTGGACCCCCCCCCAAAATTTACCAAAATATTTAGAATAATCTGAAGAGTAATTGCAGTTACGACCATGAAGACAATTTTTATGATGTTTTTGGATTATTTGACAAAATTGTTGAGAGGGGCGGGAAATTAAGCATATAAATAACGAATGATTTTTTATTTTGATTGCCCAATGCCCACGGTGAACAGGAATTTCTATAATTTGCAGCATTCTCAACTATGAACTAAGTCAGTTGCACGCATAAATATTAAAGGTAAGCCTAGTGTACACTTCATGGAAAATTTAGCTTCTACTCTTTTCCGGGGTTCCAAGGAAATATAAATCACGAAGTATAATAGGTAAAAAAATAAATGTGTGTAAGCATTATTTTCAATCAAACAATATTGACGTTATTGTGAATCTTAAATCCTTAAAGCAACGGTTATAATAATTTTGATATTCTAATAAATAAATAAAAATTCCTCCGACACCCGAAGTAAACGTATTGGAAATTTTGCTTACAGCTTCTTTCCTATTCCTTTATTACTTCCAGGGGCATTCGCACTAGCCCATATATAAATTTAAAAAAACAAAGAGTTTTTAAAAAAAAATTATTTAGACTTCAGTAAATTCCATACTGCTTTAATGATTTTAATGTTTTATAATTTTATTGTAACATGCAGAAATACTAATAACCATGGAACTAAATTTATCTAGAAAGAACTTTTATAAATCAAGTTATTATTTAAACAGATACAGTTAGCATATAAACTTGGGTTTCCAATCGGAATTCCATTGCTCAATTGTTCTCGAATTGCACAGAATTGCGCGGAATTTATCAGGGATCGCAATTATGCACGCAAGTAAAGTTAATCTACTTTAAACGTTGGAAATCTACATGAAACAATTGTTTTCTATCAAATACATTTAATAAGTAAATATAGTCTTTATGTCGTACTTTTATAATTCATGCAATATACATGTTTTCTGCGTTACTGTACAAATATAAATAATTTAGTATTTATGCATTATCCCACTAACATGACAACTTAACGCCAGATTTGACTGACCGCTGTCGTAATGTGACAGCGAGGGGTTTACTTTACCGCTGTAGTATATCACCATGTCCCCACTGTCGTACAGCTATCGCCAAGGCTGACCTCAAATAAGGTGATCGGAGCTCAGCCCAACTCCAGCGAAGCGCGTCGACATAGGCGGTATAGCTGCCAGCAGTCTTTATGTTAGCTGGGTATAATTGGATTATTTTTATCATGAATCAGGACTAAATCTTTAAATGTAATTTTAAAGTTAATTGTCCAATTCTAGCTTGAGGATTACAAACATATTTTTAAGAAAATTGGTAGCTTTTGTTGAAGTATAAAGCTTGATGAAAGACATAAACAATTTAATCATAATTCTTTAATCTTCATCTCAAACATTCATTACATTTCTTGTAACTACAGGGTGTCCAACGAAACTTGACCATAGAAACTGTTGGCTGAAGGTCGTCTTAGATCTTAGATCATGTTTGATTCATTGTTTCAATTGTCACAACATTTTCCTGGTCCTGACAAAATGTAGTCTGCCTTTTTTGCAATTTTGCAAATTTGCAAAAATTGATTTTTTTTCTCCAAAAATCCAGTTATTTAGTAAAAATGTTTGCAAAAAAATGTCCAAAAAAACGATTCTTTATGTCATGGGCTTTCCTAAAAGTTAAAAGTTATCAAAATCTGACAACTGTAAGTGGGGCAAAACAAAGATTTAGTTTATTACAGGAAACAATAGTCATTCAGACAGTCAATTATAGGTATAAAAGCCTGATTTAAGATCTAAAGGGAGGGCTATGGTTAGTAAGGAAAAGTCAGAAAATTTCAACAGCCTCAGACCAACACTTTTACTACGGCAGGAGTAGGGTTAGTGACCTAAATTTGAATAATTGAATGTCTGTTTCTGGTTCAAATAAAGATTAAATATCTGTTTAATTTTCCATTTTTAGGAAAAAGGGGGTGGATAATACTAAAGAAAAGAAACAACATTAAAAAAAGGGGGGTACAGGGTACACCCCAACCTGATTATACTCAGGGGGGGTGGTAACGGACTGCAGCCACCCCCATAACCGCCTTATTATGATTTAGTAAACAAGAAATGGTGAAAAAGATTAATTTTCTCAAATCAAAACATCACCCCCTCCCCTTTCCCATGTAAAACTACACTGTGATTGGACGTCTTGACCATAAATTACTGGATATATACCATTTAAACCAGCTTTTTTTTAAAGTAGCTTATCTTGATATTCCAAGAATTAAAAATAATTTTTTATTTGCTGAACAAACCCATCTTTTTTTAAAGATAACGAGTTTAGTTAAAGAGTAAACCTGATAATGTTTATACTTTATTTATTAATTCTGGTGATAAGAACTTATTATTATTATTCATTGCTATGATTATTGTTTACTTTTAACTAAACAGTATTGTATGATTATTATTTTTATTTTTATTATCCATTATTATATTACAGGGTAAATCTGGCACTAACACTTCTAAAAAACGTATAATTACATTATATATACTTTACCTTCTTAATCCATTTAAGAGTTATAAAAGGCCACTTTCCTGCTTTTTATTAACTGCCAATCTTTTTGATTTGATCAGGGGGCGGAAATTTCATGTGTGTGTGTCTGTAACAAAAATAGTGTGTGTCTGTGATAAGGAACCGAATAGTTGTACTGTCGGTGTATACAGTTTAGAAGAATCTTGGTATTTGTACTTGTACAGTCTAAGAGAGTACATTTGTTTATTGTTAATTGTTTACTTTAATTTATTATTTATATATTTAAGTCAATACTCTATACAATAAGCGAAAGTTTCATACAAAGAAAAGAATATAATCTGATTCAAGTTTATAATTATCTACTCGTTATTCAAGCTTGATTTTATAATTGACGATATTGTTCTGATTTTTCCATGACTGTAGTCATGTGTGTGTTTCTGTACCAAGAAATTTTCGTTCAATTTCTTTCGAGAAAATTTCGTTCAGCCAATAAAAATGTGAACGAAAACAAAAATTTTTTTCGTGAAATTCATTAAAATTGTCGACCTTTAGTTCAAAATCTCATTTTTTCGCAAAAATACAATCTTCTTGATGCGAAATGGAAAAATTTTGATTTTATTGAACGAAAATTTCGTCGAAAATACATCGAAATTTGCGAAAATTTTGGACGAAAATGAACGAATTTTGTTAGTACATTTTTGCAAATTTCGTTCAAAGAAACTTTCGATGGAAACCCTGAGTGTGCGTCTGTAATAAGGAACCTGTTTGCAAAGCAGTACGACTGGTTTCTCTTGCCAGACTAGTGCCTTTTCCATTCCTTTTATTCTTGTTCCCTAGATTTGACCCACTATACAGTATATTATTGCATTATTTTCATGTTTCATCCATTTAGATTTAATAAATCATAATTTAGTTTTTTTTAGTATAACCAATAATTATTATTATTTATTTATTTCATATTATTACTTTTATGTGTTGTTCAGGCAAATACAGAAGCGTCTTCATCCTGCGTTAAACAGGATTGTGAGTGTAAAGATTTTATCAGGTACCTATCTGACCCATACATCACTTTCAAGCACTACCTACCTGACTACACATCTCACCTTCCTATCTGATACTTACCTCACTTTTGACCACTACTTCTTTACATACCTTACTACCTGACTACCTATACCTGTAAAACAATAGGCGGGCGTCGGTGTTTAACAGACTAAGAGGCCGGTTGGTTAATTGGCTAATTCGTTCGTTGGTCAATAAGTTCTTTGATCAATAGGTTCGGTGGTCAGACACAGTAGTCTCCAATAAAAAGTTTCGCTAAAAAATGCAAAAACCTTTGGTCGCATTTTGCAATCTTTTTCGGAAAATTTCGCATTTTTTCGCGGAAATAAATGAAGCGAAATGCAAAAATGTTTATATTTTGTGTTGATCCATCAATTGGGCTCGCGGATAAATACCTCTTAGAGTCTTGAGTCTTGTTTTATCAAAATTTAGTCTTTTTTTGATGAATTTTCGCAACTTTTTCGCTAAACTTTTGCATTTGTATTTAAAAGTTAAATATTTTTCGCGAAATTTTCGTTTTTTTTTTCATAATTTCCATTTTTTCGCGAAATTTTCGTAATATTTTTTTGCGAAATTTTTGGCATTATTTTTCGCGAAATTTTATAGCAAAATTTTCGCATTTTCTATTCTGCGAAAATTTTCGCATTTTTCAAGAGCAAACAAAATGCGAAAATGAAGCGAAATAATCGCGAAATTTTTTTTTCGCGAAATTTTTATGCAAAATTCTGTATTAGATGACACTCTCTTAAAGTAACAAATTTTCTTTTCACCGTCTTTATGGTATATTTTTATTTAGTAATGGTTGTGAAAACCCACTTTCAACCTCTGAGGTGCATGCAGACTCCATACCGACTTGTTTGACAAACTGTAAGGTAAACTAATACATGTGGACTCCATGCAGACTTGTTTGACAAACTGTAAGGTAAACTAATACATGTGGACTCCATACAGACTTGTTTGACAAACTGTAAGGTAAAATAGTACATGTGGACTCCATGCAGACTTGTTTGACAAACTGTAAGGTAAACTAGTACATTTGGACTCCATACAGACTTGTTTGACAAACTGTAAGGTAAACTAGTACATGTGGACTCCATGCAGACTTGTTTGACAAGCTGTAAGGTAAACTAGTACATGTGGATTCCATACAGACTTAAGTTTGACAAACTGTAAGGTAAAATAGTACATGTGGACTCCATGCAGACTTGTTTGACAAACTGTAAGTTAAACTAGTACATGTTGACTCCATGCAGACTTGTTTGACAAACTGTAAGGTAAACTAGTACATGTTGGACTGCATGCAGACTTGTTTAAGCAACTGTAAGGTAAACTTGTACATGTGGACTCCATGCAGACTTGTTTGACAACCTGTAAGGTAAACTAGTACATGTGGACTCCATGCAGACTTGTTTGACAAACTGTAAGGTAAACTAGTACATGTGGACTCCATACAGACTTGTTATACAAACTGTAAGGTAAACTAGTTCATGTGGACTCCATGCAGACTTGTTTGACAAACTGTAAGGTAAACTAGTACATGTGGACTTCATGCAGACTTGTTTTACAAACTGTGAGGTAAACTAGTACATGTGGACTCCATACAGACTTGTTATACAAACTGTAAGGTAAACTAGTTCATGTGGACTCCATGCAGACTTGTTTAAGCAACTGTAAGGTAAACTAGTACATGTCGACTCCATGCAGACTTGTTTAGGCAACTGTAAGGTAAACTAGTACATGTGGACTCCATGCAGATATGTTTAGCCAACTGTAAGGTTAACTAGTACATGTTAACTCCATACAGACTTGTTTAAGCAACTGTAAGGTAAACTAGTACATGTGGACTCCATGCAGACTTGTTTAGGCAACTGTAAGGAAAACTAATAGATGTGGGACTGCATGCAGAAATGTTTAACCATATGTAAGGTAAACTAGTACATGTGGACTCCATGCAGACTTGTTTAACAAACCAAAAGGTAAATTTGTAAATGTAGACTCAATGTAGACTTGTTTAACAAACCAAAAGTTAAAATGGTAAATGTGGACTCCATGCAGACTTGTTTAACAAACCAAAAGGTAAAATGGTAAATGTGGACTCCATGCAGACTTGTTTAACAAACCAAAAGGTAAAATGGTAAATGTGGACTCCATGCAGACTTGTTTAACAAACCAAAAGGTAAATTGGTAAATATGCAGACTCCTCTAACCATTTTTAAGGTAAATTGGTAACTGTATACTTAATCCAGTTAAGAATTCAGACAGATTTATATCCAAAATATAATTTTTATAATTCTGCCCTGAAAACTCAAGTCTAATATTATATAAAGAAGACCATATTAGACTGGTTTTAGGTATAACTGAGTGTAGCTTAAGCCTAATTCTCTGCTTGGCATTTTTCCAGGCTTAAATCCGGTTTTAGAATTCAAGCTCATTGGTTTATTGTTAAACCTATTTTTTAGATTTTCTCCAGCATAAACCTGTGTGAGTTTGCTCTGTTCCAAGAACCAACTCAGATTCATGAAAACTGTTTAGCAATAGGAAGGAAAATATGAAATACAAACAATTCAACAACAAATTTTAAAGGGACTATAAGCGAAATTCTAAGTGACCCTTCTTACAAAGGAATGAAGTACCCGATTCACAATTATCAGAATTAAATTTAAATCCTAAATAAATGACAAAAATGTTTCAAGGGTACCGTTGTGAAACGGTTATTGCAATTTTTGCCTTGAGGGTCACTTAAAAGTTAAAATTACGCTGAAAGTCCCTTAAAATACTTTATTTCATTAATAATGATGTTGCTAGTTATACTTTCCTACTTTCCAAAAGTTTATGAAAGATAAGATTAAGAATCAATTTGTTCAGAAATTTCAAAAAAGTTCCATCTAATTTCTAAAGAAGTTTTGACAATTATGCTACAAATTTGAACTTTCTTATCCCAATATCTTTGCAGCCTGGTGATGAAAACCTTTGATATTTTGAACAGCAACTAATTGATCATAAAAAATTCCTAGTTATAACAATTAAATGTACGTATATAATCATGTTGCAAAGATATATAAAGGTTATGTTCAGTTCCTTCCTTTACTTTATTTTCCAAAGATGAGGATGTCGACATTTTTCTCAATACGTAAGATTATGAAATTAAAAAAAATATATATTTCTTAATGAGATTTTAGATTTGCAATACGTCAAAACATTGGATTGAACGAAAACATAGATCTAAGCATGTAATAAGCAATTTTTCATTTTACTCGAAATTGAAAAATAACAAACATAAATTTTTTCTTTAGGAAATTTTTTTTTATTTCAGCTTTTTTTTTGTTTGGGCGTAAGCATATGACTTGTAAATCTTTTAATAGTTTTTTTTTTCTGGAAGATGATTTATAATAAAATGCTGCACTGAACAGCTACTAAAAAAGGATCCTCTTTATGGCTTACATCTTTTTAAATAACCCTGTACCTTTTACATATAAACATTTATGCTCTATGTAGATTTATAAAAGAAACCATAAAAGAACTGTTCTATGTAGATTTATAAAAGAAACCACAAAAGAACTGTTCTATGTAGATTTGTAAAAGTAACAACAAAAGAACTGCTCTATGTAGATTTATAAAATAAACCAACTGTTCTATGTAGATTTATAAAAGAAACCACAAAATAACTGTTCTATGTAGATTTATAAAAGAAACCACAAAAGAACTGTTCTATGTAGATTTGTAAAAGTAACAACAAAAGAACTGCTCTATGTAGATTTATAAAATAAACCACAAAAGAACTGTTCTATGTAGATTTATAAAAGAAACCGCAAAAGAACTGTTCTATGTAGATTTATAAAAGAAACCATAAAAGAACTGTTCTATGTGGATTCATAAAAGAAACCATAAAAGAACTGTTCTATGTAGATTTATAAAAGTAACAACAAAAGAACTGTTTTATGTAGATTTATAAAAGAAACCACAAAAGAACTGTTCTATGTAGATTTATAAAAGAATTGGGTTTTTGTTTCACAAATTCATATTTTCCAATCTCTACATCTTTGCAACATAATGGTATGGATATTTTAAATTCTTCAAATTTAGATTATTTGACGTATCAGAATTTATAGTTTGAAATATCAAAGCTCTACAACATTGAATTGCAAAGATATCAGGATAAAAAAAAGAAATTCTTTCCTATGACTTTACCTTCACAGGTCTAAATCTCAAATAAGTTATTTTATTAATCATTTTCATTAATTTGTTTAATTAGTTAATTTAGTTTATTATCAAAAATTGATTAAATTGTTTAGATGTCAAAACCACGGTCAACCTCTTTATGATTCAGAAGGAAATGAATTAATGGAGGTATACATTGAACACATATTTATGGTATTGTTACATCTTCTATACGCTACATCCCCCATACTGAACTTCTGACCTACTAACTTTCCGACCTACTGCATTATCGAACCTACGCCAGCTGTTTATTTTTGTATTATTTGAGGGTTAGGTTTATTTTTGTATTATTTGAGGGTTAGGCTAGGTTAAGACAATTTCTGGGCCGAGCGCTGCAATGAGTACAGGCTAGGGGGCCGGGCGCTGAGGCCACAAGTCCATATAGCAGCTGTAAAACCAGGTGCTAGTAGGTCTGATGTGTAGTATTGCGGATTTGGCGTAGGTCAGAAGTGGAGTATAGCGGATTTTCGTAGGTCGAAAAATACACCACCACATTTGGAAATCATTTTCAGACAGTGAGAGGTTTCGTGATTGTATACATTTTTCCTTTAAGAGACTGTATGATAGTTGAGCTGAGAATGCAATCGACTTAAGTATGAGAAATATTTTAGGATTCATTAGAGACCTATCAGACGTTTTACCATGCATATTTGTTCAGAAAGAGCACAAAATCAATCTTTTATCCTCATAGATAGTCCATTTTGGAGGAATTATTTTCAGAATCGGTTTTTTAAAATTATTAATGACGAACATGAAAAAATTATGCAAAAGTTCTAATTATAAGCTTATTTTTTAGGATTGTGATCTGTGTGAAAATTGTAAAAATTGTAAACCTTGTGGAGTTCCACTTTCTCATCAAGGTAGAACATAAGTGTTATATCATATATGTCTTTTTATCATCAAGATAAAATATTTTCGATTGGTTTTTGTCTATTTCTCATCAAGGTAGAACATATTTAGAGTGTTACATGTCTTTTTATCATCAAGATAATATATTTTTGATTGGTTTGTGTTTATTTCTCATCAAGGTAGAACATATTTAGCGTATTATGTGTCTTTTTATCATCAAGATAAAATATGTTTGATTGGTTTGTGTCTATTTCTCATCAAGGTTAAACATATTTAGAGTATTATGTGTCTTTTTATCATCAAGATAAAATATTTTTGATTGGTTTGTGTTAGGGTTTCCACGAAATGGCTAAATCTTTTGCGCAAAATTTGCGCTATTTTCGCGCAAATTTTTTTGTTGCGAACTTTTGCGCTATTTTTGCGCATGAAACGCAATGAGTTTTGCGCGGTTTTGCGCTATTTTTTTGCGCAATTTGCGCAAAACCGGAAATATTTTTTGCGAAAGTTGCGCATGAAACGAAATTTTAGTTTTGCGCATTTTTTTTGAGCAAAACCGCAAGTTTTACGCAAAATGTAACTTTTTAGGCAAATTGTCAAAAATTGATATTCTAAGCCTAGAATTAAACAACTGAAGATTTATTCCATACATAAAAAAATATTAAGATACGAGTATGATAACGATTATACTACTCTCAATTGGTTGCTTCCAGTAACAAAAAGTTTAAATTAAGGGACCAAAATTAATAAAATAGAAATTAGAGAGTGTGAAACTTGGTAATATTTTAATCCTATTAAATAATTTCAAGTGACCCTTAAAAGCTTTGCCTAAACAAGTATGAATTATATTCTTAAATTTTTTTAATCAAATTTCTGAAATCTTTTTTATCTCATATAAAATAATGCAAGAGAGTAACCAATGCCTGAAGAATCCACTTTTAGGAAATATGCATGTCCAAAACTAATTGTCGAGACTTTTACTGGACAATCTGTTTCGGATTTTGGTACGAAATTGCGGAATTGCGCAAAACTTGAGTTTCGCAAAAGCGGAATAGGGCAATTTTGCGCGAAATGACTTTTGCGAATGATTGCGCAAATTGTTGTTTTTTTTCGCGTAAAACTGATGCGCAAAGAAAGAAAAATTTTGCGTTTCGTTCCGCAAATATTGCGCAAAAGTTTTGGGAATGGAAACCCTAGTTTGTGTCTATTTCTCATCAAGGTAGAACATATTTAGAGTAATATGTGTCTTTTTATCATCAAAATAAAATATTTTGATTGGTTTGTGTCTTTTTCTCATCAAGGTAGAACATATTTAGAGTGTTATGTGTCTTGTATTTAAGTACTTAGGAAAACTTCAGTTTTACTGTTATAATTATGTAATGTAATGCATACTTATGAAAATGACTTTATTCCTATTACAGATGGAGGGATATTAAGAAAATATAACACTAGTGAATATATTCCTCTTGTACTTGGTGAAGACCGTGTAAAATGGAACACTAGTGAATATATTCCTCTTGTACTTGGTGGAGACTGTATAAAATGGAACACTATAGTGACTATATATTCCTATATTGTAGTTGGTATAGACTGTATAAAATAGAACACTACAGACTATATTTCTATGTAGTTGGTGTAGACTGTATAAAATGGAACACTACAGACTTTATTTCTATTGTAGTTGGTGTAGACTGTATAAAATGGAACACTAGTGAATTTATATTTCTATGTAGTTGGTGTAGACTGTATAAAATGGAACACTACAGACTTTATTTCTATTGTAGTTGGTGTAGACTGTATAAAATGGAACACTAGTGAATTTATTTCTAAGTAGTTGGTGTAGACTGTATAAAATAGAACACTAAAGACTTTATTTCTATTGTAGCATGGTGTAAACTGTATAAAATGGAACACTACAGACTATATTCCTATTGAAGTTGGTGTAGACTGTATAAAATGGAACACTAGTGAATTTATTTCTATTGTAGTTGGTGAAGACTGTATAAAATATAACACTACAGACTTTTTCTATTGTAGTTTGTGTAGACTGTATAAAATGGAACACTAGTGAATTTTTTATTGTAGTTGGTCTAGGCTGTATAAAATGGAACACTAGTGAATATATTACTCTTGTACTTGGTGAAGACTGTGTAAAATGGAACATTATAGTGACTATATATTCCTATATTGTAGTTGGTATAGACTGTATAAAATGGAACACTACAGACTATATTTCTATTGTAGTTGGTGTAGACTGTATAAAATGGAACACTAGTGAATTTATTTCTATTGTAGTTGGTGAAGACTGTATAAAATATAACACTACAGACTTTTTCTATTGTAGTTTGTGTAGACTGTATAAAATGGAACACTAGTGAATTTTTTATTGTAGTTGGTCTAGGCTGTATAAAATGGAACACTAGTGAATATATTACTCTTGTACTTGGTGAAGACTGTGTAAAATGGAACACTATAGTGACTATATATTCCTATATTGTAGTTGGTATAGACTGTATAAAATGGAACACTACAGACTATATTCCTATTGTAGTTGGTGTAGACTGTACAAAATGGAACACTACAGACTATATTGCTAGTTTTCCCGATGTTGAAACTCACATTGACTGTGCAAACACGTGTAGAAATTCAGGTAGAAATTTTCTGATTGAGCATATTTCAAAAAAAGAAATTCAGAACTCTTAAAATATAATGTTTTCTTGTCTGTTTGTGTGCTTTAAACCAATAAACGACGGATCCTATCGGGCGGTAAAAGGACAGCTCGCGTAATATCAAGAGACCCACCATACAAAGAGGGTGATGTCCAAATTACAACTGGTTTTTTTAACCTTTAACTGATCATCAAGGTTAAGAGAGATACATCACTGCAAACCAAGATTTTTATGGCTTTTACACAAAAATCAAGCAGTATTGTATTTTGCTTATTACCTCTTTTAAACTTTAGCAAGAAACAAGCGCGTTGCATTTTTTAAAACATATATGACCAGGGCTACAAAAAGCTACAAATGAGTTGGTGAGGTTAAACCAATGACTAAATGCGTTGTGACATATTTTGATGACTAACTTTCAGATCTGTCTATATTTCAGTGTCATGTGGTTATCTCTGTAAAGTATAAACATAGCTGAAATCATTTATAATCCTCGAAAAATCTCAAAAATGTGATGTCAGAACGCGGTTTTAAATATTCAGATTTAAATTTGTTTTTTTTTAAATTTTTTTAAATTTAAAAATTTAAAGATTATTTGAAATTATAAAACAGACTGAAAACGGAGAAACAATTGAAAGCCTTTCCGAGTTTTTCATTGTTTATAAGTGAAAGGTTTGTGAATTTGACACACCACCATTCAACAAATAGTAAGTCACTTGTAATTACACCAACTGTCCCTTTAAACCACAGAGTAGATATTTATAGAGGTTCAGTGTACTAAGTAACAGCAGGCAAGCGGACCAAAACTGTACAATTTTAGAAATATCGGGGTCGTTTGTGTACATATTCCAAAAAACAAGTTATGTTTCCAGTACTTTCTACATTTAATTATTTTTGTTTACATTTAAGGGAAAAATATCTATCTATCTCTCAGATCAATTAGTATTGATTGAAGTGAACCCCAAGCAAAATGCCAACTAAAATATGATTTAAATATTTGCCAAAATCTAAGTTTAAAACAAACCCCTGCTGACCCTGCAGTATGTGTACTGTATAAACCCCACTTCCTCTTGGAATCAAGGTTTCGTGAGATGAGTTGACTGAGTGTCTATACTGTCTATCTTTTTCTATAATTTAAACTGATTTTTTCATGTCCAAAGAAACATTTAAAAGCTAAATAAAAGTACAAAAAGACTAGTTTATACATATAAAAAAAGTTAATCCCTCATATATAAACATTTATATATATTTATATTATTATTATTATTATAAAGATTTATTCACGCACAAAGATATAAATATACAAATATAAATGGTGTAGTTTAAATTTGTTTAAATAATTTTTGAAAATACAGGTTTCCAAAAGAAAAGAGAAAAATATGCAAAAGTATGCACAAATAGACAACATTGATCATTACTCATTACATAATATATTTATCATTTCAGTTATTACGTAATCATAGAATCCTTCAACATATAAATTATTCTTTCTTGTATTTAAAAGTTCTTGTAAAACCGGAACTCATGTTCCAATGTGACATCAAAATATTTCATTTGTTTCTTAACTAACATTTTACTAAGATATATGTTAGCTTTAGCTGGCTAAGCGGCTTAATTAAATTGACTGACATATTTTAGGGAACTCGGAGAACAAATTTTTTATTTTAAAGTTGTAAATTTGTTTTTCAATATGTTTCTAAAATTCCCCTTCAGCTAGTTCCTGAGAAAATAGTTTCCCTTTAATTTAGATATTGGCGCCAGTTTTATGGTTTATGAGCACAAGGAGAGAACCTGTTACTGCTATGACAATGGATACAGGTAAATAAACAAAACTAAAAGAACTGTTGTTCTTACAGTGTTGAATTAAATTCTCAGTTTAAAAAGTGACAGTAATAGATGAAAAATCATGTTCTTCTATATAACCCCTTTAAATTTCTTGTTGATTTTTTCTGGCTTCAGAAAAATGAAGACGGTTAAACTCAAGTTAGAACTTAAACTATTTCAATGAACATTAGACATAGCAATTGTACAGTGTAAATAGACCCTTTTCACCTAAATTGTGCTTTGCTAAGTTACTAGTAAAAGAATTTGCTTTGTAACATCAAAACTCTTAAGTAATGCTATGATGTCGTCTTTCTATTCCATTGTTTTCTGGTTATCATTGCATGAGAAAACATTTTTATAAGGTATTTCAGTTTAGGTTATTTATTCAATACTATTTTTGTTGTATCTTTCATCCCTTGATGCTTTTATTTCATATCATGAATTTTCTTAGGGGGGGGGGGGGCGTCCTTCCCCTCCAGGAGCTCAGGGGGGTGGATGTCGGCCCAGGCCCGCCTCTAGTCCGCCACTGAAGTGAATGAAATTATGAATTCCAACTTTTTTTAATCCCGAGAAATTTTAAGTTTTTTTATTTTCAGACATTGTGCTACCCAGCTTATTCCTGTTGGATTCAATCAGACTTTATAGTTATACATTTATCTATTTATTTTTAACAAATAAACTTTTTTAAATATTAGACTTGTAAGATTTAGGGGGAATATTGGAAAACATGCTTACTCCATGATTTCTTACAGACTAAACAATGTTACCCCAGAAATAAAAAGAAAATCTGGTAAGAATGTGATATGATTTATTTAAGTAAGAATAACTTTAAAAAATAGAAGAAAAAAAGTCCACAAATGTTTTTTTTTAAATTTCTAACTCAATCCCTTGTCTTAAATGTTCTACCAATTCCTTCCCAGCCTCTATTGTGCCTTCTGCACAGCAGACGGAAAGCTGTTGAGTTAGAGGTGTGAACCTATGGACAGCCTGATTTCAACTGAAAGACAACTAACTGTGTTTAACGTAAAGTGTGAATCTTTAAGTATAAAATAGTGATTTCTGTTTCTTTAATGATTTGTATGTCCGATCATAAATTAGGATCCCCATGACTGATTTTCCTCGTATTTTGATTAGGGAACTAGAGAGAACCACGGGAATGTTCTTAGCTTGGTTTTGAGATTCTAAATTGAGTGTGTCAACTTTCATAGGGAAAAATAGCTAAACTCGTATTTTTAGACTAAGTGCGGGTAAACTGCGGGATTATCTATGAGTAACTTTGACAACGCTGGGTTCCCAAGCTAATATGATATACTTTCACACTTACCAAAAATGTCTAGTATGTAAAGTGCACTTTGCGCCTCAAATTATTGTTTCTTTCAGTCTCGTTCTCCTTTCGAGGGCAAATTATCTGTGAAATTTTATGTAAGACAATTTAAAGAATGCCATGCATAAGTGCATACACGAATGTTATGTTTTCATCACCCTTAATTCCATAAATAAATATAGGAAAGGAGGAAAAGGATCGGTTAATTTCCAACCGGATCAAATATGCTTATATTTATATATATATTAATACATTATACAGTTATGCATCTATCACACATTCAACAAATACGATTATATAGAATAAACCCTCTGGGAACATTTTACATAGAGGATATACCAATAATAGAGACAACGCCCTCCGAGAAGAGTCTTCTAAGAGCAGACAAAGAGTATGTATCAATTACAGAGAAAACAATCTCCGGGAATAGTTTTTATAGAGCAGCCACAGTTCACAGAGTGTTTATCAATAATAGAGTAAACGCCCTCGTAGAAGAGTCTTCAAAGAGTATGTATCAATAATAGAGAAAGCACCCTCCTTGAACGGTTTCCATGTAGCAGTCAAAAAGTATGTATTATTTATAAATAAAACACTCATAATAAAGACGACTTTCGATTTCAATTTTGATTTATATCAAGTTGTTAAACAGCATGGATGTAGATAAACATTAAAAGTCAAGAGAAGCTGTCAATTAAAAAAGCTTCTCTTTAATTACTTGTAAACTTGTAATTTGAATAAAGCTTGTTAACAATCAAAACTTAAATAAAAAAGTCGTCTTCATTGTATTTATATAATCGCTTATCACTGTAAGAACACCACAATTGAAAATTATTAACTATTACATAAAATAAAGGAAACCTTAGTCAATTTTGCTCACACGAATTATATATCTAACTACTTATATCTACTACGATATTTTATATAAGGAAAAATGTACTTATAGGTAATCATAATTAAAAGTGCAGTAAAGTTACTCTACTGTACTCTATGGAGGTATCATAAAAAAGGGGAATATTCTATTTTTACATTTACAATGTATCTAAGTGTATTGTATTTATGTGTAGAGTGTATACAATACAATACATTGTTAAAGATATTCAATAAACTAGTATTATTTGCCAGAAGTGCTCCTTTGTCTAAAAATAATTTTATTTACAAGGCGCCTGATTATCTGGACTACTGACTACTTTCAAAGGAAGAACTTGACAGGCAAAATTTGAAAATTATGAAAGACAAAATTTTGAGTGAAAAAGTTATGGAAGAAAAAACTTGAGAGAAAAAGTCATGAATTACAAAATTTTGAGAGAAAAAGTTATGGAAGACAAAATTTTGAGAGAAAAAGTTATGAATTACAAAATTTTGAGTGAAAAAGTTATGGAAGAAAAAACTTGAGAGAAAAAGTCATGAATTACAAAATTTTGAGAGAAAAAGTTATGAAAGACAAAATTACAAAAAAACAACTTTTTAAACGACAAACTTCGGGCGAAAGAAAATTTATCTAAGACAAATTATTAAAAAAAATGTTTTAAAAATCTTTAAAGAAATGTTGTACATACAAGGTTGTGTTCTCTCATTTTACTAAAACTTTAGTTTTGATAATAAGAACAAAATTTCATGTTTTTTTCTAACAGTATAGTTAAGATTGGTATTGCGGTAAGTGGAAAGAAAAACTATACCTTGACAATTGTAACAAGAGATTTTATTTGTAATGTACTGACATGTACTAAGGCTGGGTTACTTTGTGGATTTCATTTGTAATGTACTGACATGTACTAGGGCTGGGTTACTTTGTGGATTTTATTTGTAATGTACTGGCATGTACTAGGGCTGGGTTACTTTGTGGATTTTATTTGTAATGTACTGATATGTACTAGGGCTGGGTTACTTTGTGGATTTTATTTGTAATGTACTGATGTACTAGGGCCGGGTTACTTTGTGGATTTTATTTGTAATGTACTGACATGTACTAGGGCTGGGTTACTTTGTGGATTTTATTTGTAATGTACTGATATGTACTAGGGCTGGGTTACTTTGTGGATTTTATTTGTAATGTACTGACATGTACTAGGGCCGGGTTACTTTGTGGATTTTATTTGTAATGTACTGACATGTACTAGGGCTGGGTTACTTTGTTGATGTTAGATAAGCGTTTTTTCATTTGTTAACAAGAGCCAAAGAAGGACTCAATTTTTGAATATTTTTCAAGGTTTCTGAATATTTTTCAAGGTTTCTGAATATTTTTCAAGGTTTCTGAACTTTTTAATGCGCTCTAAAATACTGCTTCATAACAAAAAGGTTCCAACATTTCTAAACCGTATTCTGTTAAAGTTTGATTTCATCAATCTATGCAGAATTATCATCCACATATCATCCAGATATCACCCACATATCATCCACATATCATCCACATATCATCCAGATATCATCCACATATCATCCACATTTCATCCAGATATCATCCATCATCCACATATCATCCAGATATCACCCACATATCATCCAGATATCATCCATATATTATTCAGATTTCACCCACATATCATCCAGATATCATCCACATATCATCCACATATCATCCAGATATCACCCACATATCGTTCAAATTTCATATTTTACAACGAGTCGAGTTTTAACCCTTATATAGCACGACTATTGCCGGCGAAAACTCCACTTTTAAACTCGATTAAAACTCCACTCCTCATCATCCAGATATTACCCAAATATCATCCAGAAATCATCCAAAAATCACCCATATATCATCTAGAAATCATCCAGATATCATCTTGGTGAAAAGTTGAGTTTTAATCCTTGTATGGCACGACTATAGCCGGTGAAAACTCCACTTTTAAACTCGATTAAAACTCCACTTCTGGAAAGCAAAAGTCGAGTTTTACTCGAGTTTAACTCGAGTTTTTGTTTGCTAGGCATGGTGACAGTACTCGGGTATTCTGCTGTGTTTTATCTAATATAATAAGAATACAGAGCCATGGTGACAGTACTCGGGTATTCTGCTGTGTTTTATCTAATATAATCAGAATACAGAGTCATAGGGACAGTACTCAGGTATTCTGCTGTGTTTTATCTAATATAATCAAAATGTTCTGTTTCTCAACATCAACAATATACAGTGCAGATACAGTCATATTGTCACACAAACCATGGTAGATATAGAACCAAGGAGACTAGGGGGGTATATTATGTAAAGGGTTAGTTTTCAGTTTATTGTGATGTCAGTTAAGAACCTAAACTAGTTTTAATGTAAACAAACAACATTAAATAATAAATACAAAGAGAATAGAATATATATTAGAGTGGAATTAAGAAATCCTTCGGTATGAATTTTGTCTGCAGTCCCTTTCAGCCTGAAAGGGAGTCCAAAGTGTACAAATTATGTAAATGTTCAAAAATTATAAACAGTAGAGTACATTAATACAGTATGTTCCCAAGACTATCCATTTCAATTTCGAATTTTTTAAAGCTGTTAAATAAACTTTATAAAATGAATTAGGTGAATAAAAAACATCATTTGATTTATAGTTAAAGCGGAAAATCATCGTTTGTAAAGTGAAAGACATAGAGTCTAGGTTAAATGATAATTGGTCAATTATGAAACCAGCCTATTTCATAACTTGGTTTTCTTTTAATATTAATTTTAGATTTTCTATTAAATGATGTTCCAGGGCCCAAAAGGTTATATAACACAAATATGTGAAGTATACCTGCAGTACGGAAACAGTACAACAAAATGGCCGTTTTACACTTTTTTCTAGTAAATTCCCCTCTAATATATATTCTATTCTCTTTGAATAAATATCAGTCATTGCTTTGAAAATTTTGTTACTACTTCAAAGTGACCGGCAATGTATGGTGGTTGATATGAGAATGCAATATTGTGGAGAATCTTTTCAAGGATTCATTTGAAACATATAAAACGTTTTGATGATGTATAATGGTTATAATCACTGAGTTTGAGCGCAAAGTTGATGTTCAAAATCATTCATTTGGGTGGTTACGTTTTGAGATTTTTTTAAATTACTAAATAACGACGACAAAAAACGTAAAAAAATAAACTAATTAGATGTTTAGGAACATATTTCTCAATTGAAATTTTCTCAAGAAATCTATGTTAGAATCAATTGTAGTGTTCGGACCAAATATACACTACTGTAAGATTCCTCTATTCTCAATAGAATATAAACAAGGAATGGGTTAATTCTAAGGAAGAACTGATGAAAAGGGGTGGTTCTTAAAAATCTTCTTGACTTGTCTCAAGTCTTCAACTGAATGCCTCTTTAGGTTTCAAGTTTCCCTTTTTGTCAGTTCTATTCCTATCTTTATTCACAAAAAACATAATTTTATTTAATATCCAATTAATCACATCTTTTATTCCATTATTCATATATTATTATTATTCCATCCTGCAATCCCTATAAAAATACAAAAGCAAAAGATTATTGATAATTGTTTTTACAAACTCCACATTTTAGGTTCAGATTTCAACATTCAAGCTTTTAGAATATAAAACAAAAGTAATGTACCTGCACTTAAGAAATCTATCTATATATCTAGTATATACTTAAAATAATAAAGAATTTAAAAATAAATATCAGAGTAAACCAACAAGCACAATAAACACCAAAACTGCCAACCTTAAGAAAGATTACACCTGGCTGAGAATAGATTTAAATGATAATAATCCCATTTTACTACACAATTATCTATTTTTCCTCGTTACATTAAATTTCTTATTCTTTATAAATTTCTTCTAATTTTTCAAATGTTCAGTAAATGTTTGTGAAGAATGAGACATTACAGAAACCAATAACTGAATAAGATTAAATATTTTCGATGATAATTAATAGTTCATCCTTTTTTTCTCCACCTGTTCCTAAATAACTTATTAGTTTACTGTAGAATTTTTAATACATTTTTCGTCTTTGTTATTGAATATAATTCTTAAAAAACCGAATCTCAAAATAATCCCTCAAAAATGAAAAATGAGGATTTTAAAGATTGAAATTGCCCTCTTGCTGAAAAAATATGCATCGTAAAAACGTCTCATAGGTCTTAAATGATTCCTAAAAAAATTCTCCACAATACTAAATCTCAGTTTAACTCCCATATATTGCCGGTCACTCCCTTTAAAAAAAATTTATGCTTTCTTATAAAAGGTTAAATAAAATCTTATGAAGGGGTTTTTCAGAATTTTTAACACATTTACTCTGGGGTGTATTTTAAAAAGTTGAAGTATTTCACTAAATTAACAAAGAAAACTAAAATTTGTTTGCGCTCCGCACACATTCTGGGGACCAAATTGATTTTCAAGATGGGGAAGGGTAAAAAATGATTTATGAAGAAAAAAATATATACCCCTTAATTAACCCTAGTTTGTAGATTCAGTATAACAACATACAATTTATTTCATTGTTCAAATTGATTTACACATTACAAAGTCATATTAATATCACATTTTCTTTTGGGAACAGATAAAAAAACATGTTACAACCATCAGAGTTAAAACATGTTACAACCATCGAGATAAATTACACAATGTATTCCTCAATTATTTGCAGTCAGCTTGTTATTAAATTATATTTTAATCTTTTGCCAAATTTGAAGATAATTGTATTATAGACCTTTAACCTTAGAAAAGTGCAAGGTAGGATGTTCATAGTGTAAAAATTATGATTATAAAATATATTTGGTTTGATTATTGTTTATTAGAAATGTAAGAGTTTAATGTATTTCTCTTCAATTATTTGAAACATTCTTAAAAGACTTTTGATTAGAGAGATTATAGTTAAAAAAGGGCAGTCTTGAAAAGTCTGGGGATTTTTATGGAATTTTGAGTATTTTAAAGTTGTGTACATTACATTTTTATTTAAAACTATTTGCATGAGGATACATTAAATTCTTCTTTTCAATCAACTTAATATCAGAAAAGTTTGAGAGCAATAAAACTGCAGGACAGTGTCAGAGATTACACAATCTTCAATATAAAGATTTACAAATTTTCAGGAACCATGGACTTAGTTTGTTGTAAGTAGTTATTGAACTAATTGAATTTAGGTAATAAATTTGGTAGTGAACCAGTAATTCAGGATTTAAACTGTGGATAAGTAGTTGATCTACCTCTCAAATTCATTAAATTTGATCCCTGTTTACAAATTTAAAATACACCATATGTATGTAAACCAGTAATTCAGGATTTAAACTGAGGATAAATAGTTGATCAACCTCTCAAATTCATTAAATTTGATCCCTGTTTACAAATTTAATATACACCATATGTGTAGAGTGCATGTTTAAGCAATAGCAACAAAGTTCTCAGTTTTACAATGAACCTTTGTATTCACAGAATACTTTTTTGAATTGATAAATATAAAAGTTCAGGAAATAATAATTGTTTTAAAACTGAAAATGATGTTTTCAAGTTGAATATACTACATTTTAAGTTTTTTTTTAATTTGCTAGAAAAAATTACCTGCTTTTCATTTTGTTGGGTTTTAAGTATTTTAGTAATACAAATTAAGTAGTTACTAATTACTATTTAATCTGTTAATATGTGTTTTTTAAGGTACAGTTGTTTTGATTTCATGTGACCGGCTATTCAAAATAAGCATGCCTGATTCACAATGGCACTCTTTAGAGCTTTATCATATCAATGTTATGGCCGGGAACATAAAGTTTTCTTCTTAACATTTTTTAGATTCTGACAGTTTCCTGCCTTGTTTCTGCACAGAAATGCGCAAGTCAAAATTCAAAATAATAAATATTCAAAAAAATATTGTGCATATCTCATTCATTCTTGAGCAGTCAAAGCTTATATGATTACTGTGAATTGGACATGCCACTCTATAAATTGAGAGCGATTTAAAATTAACATAGATCCTTTTTACACCATTAAAAATGAGTTAACAAATGTTGATCAGGAATAAAGCATTTATATGAGGGGCAGAACAAATTATAATAGAAAATTAACCTAAACTTTCTGTGTTCACAGGAGAATTATTTTGTATTGAATTTCAAACAAAATATCAATATTGGCCCAAATTCTATTTAACAACTATTGGACCAACATCTATTATAATGATCATTAACCTATTTGTTATTCCAAAGTAATTCATTAACCATGGCTTCCGCCTCTTCAAGTACCTTAAAACATAAGTTAAAATAGAGGATAAATTCTACCCATTCCAGGAATGCAAACCCCACAATATGACAGTTAACTAATCAAAACACAGTATCTGAAATTTGGAATTTTTAGCCCATTCTTTATTTTAACAGGAACATATTTGGCATTATAGTTAAACATCAGTTGTTAGACAAGTTATCTTGCTTTTTTGAGTCTTAGAGTTTCTACGAGAAGCAGGGTAGATGGAGGAGGATTGTGGAATGTTATACTCAAACTCAGTTGTTAAAAGAGGTGTTTTAAAATCCAATAATTGAAAACTTTTCCGATGGAATGATTGGGTTGAATCAAAGTCAGTTGTTTGATAACTATGATGAGATGTTGGTTGAGGGCTAGGATTAGAAGATGGTAATTGATAATACTTCCAAGCTGGATTGTTGGACACTAGACTAGCCGGGTAGGAACACCCACCAGATAGAGTTTGCTCATCTGGGGTGGGATGAATACTGACAATACTAGAACCCTCGTTTTGGCAAGCAGAAAAATTAAAGTTGGTTTCACAAATGTTTTCAACACTAGTGTACGAGTGCCGAGGTCTATGTTGATGGCATTTAGAGTGAGGTGTAATTGATTCTGCACTTACTGAGGACTTCATTGGAAACGATTCTTGTGATAATTGAAAACTCCTACTTTTTGTTGGGCCTTTTTGTAGTCTATGAATATGATTCACGGTCAAATTTTTCTCCAGATCAATCTTTGTAAAGGAAGTCCCTAAAATTATATATATTGAAAAAATTGCCACGACAAATGTTTTCTTAAAGCTTTATTGAATGTTTATGTGAATTTTTGTTTCTTTTTCGTTTTTTCAGCTTTTGCTGAATAAGATGTTGATTAGTTTAAAATTAAGCGAATACAAGATATACCCTTCTCATAAAAAGGATTCTTGATCTATTGAAAAATGCAAATCATACCAACATTTTAGAAATAAGATACACATCTCATTTCCATATAGATTAACAAAAAGTAGTTATCAAAACATTTCTGCAAAAACACTGATTATTTTGAATGACATTATTGAACCTTCTGGCACTCAGGAAATCTTTGGACATTACAAATTAGTTTTTAAAATGGGTATTCTCTGTATTTATAAGATGAACATTGAACAATGACTTTAATTACCTTCCTCTTCTTCTATACTGTGTGATGCACTTGTTGCTATTGCTTGAGAGGTAGGAGTACGTGCTAGAGATTCAGATCTTGGACCCTTCCGAGATTTTCTGAACTCAATAAAGCATTAGATCATTAAAGGGACTGACATGTAAATTTAAGACAGTGTATGCCTGATTCACAATAACGCGCTTACACTGTTAATTAGATATCATAGTTTTTAGGCTTTAAAAAAAGGACTTTTTTTTACCAATTTAAACTTTTTTCATTAAATTAAAAGCTACGAAACGAATATGATGCATAGTTAATGTATATTAATCTTTTTCTTCTTTCTTTTAAACAAACAACATTTTTAGGAACAAACAAAATTATTCTTGGAAAAAGTCATTGTTCAAAAAAACAAACGAAATGGATCGTTCAGAGAAATAAGACAATAATTGTTTTTTAAAAACGAAAAAAATGAGCGATTTAAAATCGCTCAAACGAATTTGAAAAAATAATAATTTTTTATGGTAGAAACAAATTTTCCAAAAGATTAAAAAAAAATATTGTGTTTTTTTACTGAACGAACATTTTTAAAAAACTATGGTTTTTTACAGAATGCACAATTTTTTCGAACTGATTTTTAAAAAATTATCGCTTTTTACTGAAAAAACGATTTTATTGAACAAACGATTATACTGTATCATTGTTCAATGAGAAAACGGACGAAAAAGATGGAAAATTAACGATGGTTTTGAGAAAGAACGAAATAATTTTTTTGAACGATTGAAAAAAACGAACGAAATGGAGCGAAAAAAATTGAACGTGCCCATCTCGTTTTCCTGTTTTACAGTTTATTGATGGACTATCGATCGTTTGTAGTATTAAAGTAAATAAAGTTTGTTGTGCTATTTTTGATAAATTTTGAATTAAAGATCAAAATATGTCAATGTCAAAATATATCAATACAGACATCATTTAATTCAATGTAGTGAGTTTTACATGGGACATATATGTATAAACAAACTGTCATAAAAACAGAGATCACTGCTTAATATAAATATAGATAATGTGTCTTAAAAATTAATGGTTTTCTATATATAAATTTGGCTAGTCTGTTTGTCTGTTTGTCTGTCTGTCTGTTTGTATCCAATAAACGTCAAAACGGCTGAACCGATCGGGCCCAAATTTTTTGTGGGACATCTAGGGACCCCAGGGAAGGTTTATGAATGATTGAAATTTTAAAAATTTGTGTTTTAGAGGTTTTTAATTTTGTAAAAAAATTTAAATTTTTGAAAATCCGCGATTTTTTTTTTAAATCCGCAAAACTTTTTTCATCTTTGTTTTGAAATGTAAACAAAAAGAGCATGTTCACAATTTAAATAGAAGATGGGCGCGAAGCGCCCTAAAAGCCTAGAAAGAAGGGCGCGAAGCGCCTTGAATTTCTAGTATTTTAAATTTTAAAGTGTAAAGGCTAGGGCTGGGCAAAGTTCCGTTAACGGAACGAAGATTTTCGAAAATTAACGGAAGTGTCCGTTAAAGAACCGCAAAAACCGTTAATTTTAAACCATTAACGAAACGGATTAGCCGCTCTGTGGTCATATTCTTAATTGCTGAGAATAGATCGCGGAAACCTTCGAATTTTGAAATTTTGAATTTTGTCCAACCGTGAATCTGGTTTCTCCTCAGAATAGGATAAATAAAGTTGATTTGGATATCTATATAATTATACTCAGTCCGCAGAAAAGGATAAATATAATTCAACTGCTAGTGCCGTTAACGATTTTACAAACCGTTAACCCCGTTAATACTACAAAAGTTGTTAACGTCTGCATCGTTAACGATTTCATAACCGTTAACGATTTTTTTTGCGGCGCTTCGCCTTGTTAATACTGAATTAGACTGTTAAGGGCTGCGCAGTTAACGAATTCTTTAACCTTTAACGAATATTTGTCTTTGCTTTGTGTTGTTGTTAATAACTAAAATGGACCGTTAACGAATTTTTTTTCGGCGCTTTGCACTGTTTATGATGTAATTGCCTGTTAACGACTAGAGCCGTTAACTATTGTTGAAAATTTTGCGTTAACGTCATTAATAAAATTGAGATCGTTAACTAACGGTAATTTTTGAAAAATACCGGTATATGCCGTTAACAAAACGAACGTTCCGGTTTTACCATTAAAATTAACGGCTACCTAAAATATATCTTTTTTAACAGTTGAAACAAACCGTTAACAAAACGGCTAGAAAAAATTGGAACATGCAAAGCCTCAGTAAAGGCTAAGTTATAGCAAATTTTGTCAGGGTTTTTATTTGCTAAAAAGTTCTAATCACAAATACTATCCTTGAAAGAAAATAGTGAATAAAACTTTCAGAGTGCTGCAAAACTTACCTAATACTTTTCTTTCTCTTCTTTTGACTGATTCTATGAAGGATCCATTGAACTAGAAAATCCCAACCTTTCTGTCCCTGTACTACAGCCTGCTAAATAAGTGTGCTGGATGAATAATATTTGTTATTTATGAATTTTACATAAGCTTTAAGGGGACTGCAAGCGTAATTTTAAGTGATCAGCTACACATCAATACTCTTTAAACCTTTATCTGATCTAAAATGTGGAAGAATTTGTCTTTTTCCTAGGT